TTGTCCGCTCTCTGTAGTATATTTGATATGCGCAACGTTTCAGAAACTCAATCTATTTTCAACATTGGATGTAAGGATTGACAAAAGGTAGTACTTCAATGGTCCTATTAGAAAGAACGCCCAATTAATTGGCTGTTATTTATGTTATTCCATGCCTTTTCACCACATAACTGCCAACCCACCTTCTCAATTCTGAACAATTAGGTTCAGGCATCATGAATCAACCATCCAACAACAAAGAAGTAAAACGTAAAATTGTTCCTGTAGTTAATGAAGAACCATGCCATGAAGATGTCGGGAAGTGTATTCTTCACTCTGGCATCAGATAGAGCTGAGTAGTCAGCATAACGCCTTGGCTGCTTTATCACCAAGGAAGAGGTTCCCAGTATCCGTTGAATAGGAGGCTGTGTGGATGCCAGAGTTGGTCTGCTTGCAGCCAGGAAGATGTTGCAGATTGAACCACTGTCTTCCAGTCTGCAGCTTAGTCACTATACTGACTGAGCTATCATGAATCTCAAAAAATTCTCTTACGAAACTTGCAAAAGGTATGTTAATTTTTGTCACATTAATTTATGTGATTCACTTTCCCATTATTATCTATATTCTGAAAAATTGTTTTTGCCAAAAATTTATTTTCTCTGCTTTGTTACATCAAAATCACTTTTATATACAGGGAAAAGGAAGCATTGGGAATACTTAATGGGAAATATGAAGGTCGTTTTAGATAATTGTTCCTTATGTCCAGTATATTCCACTTCAAAATCCACATGGCTATTGTGTAATAAGTATTTTTCTTTCAAATTTTATTTATTGTAACCCTCAATCTCAAATCTTGGTGTCTTTCCCTTGCATGTTATTCTCTCATATTAGACTTCAGAAAATACCAAGAACATATCGAGCAGTTGAGGTCTTATCTGTAGCTTCTAATATAAAGAGAATGTCATTCAATCCTCATTCCATCAAATCTCCATAGGCATTACCACCAGTAAAGGTACAATAGGACATATGGAGGAGTTAAGACCACAGAAACTGTTTTCAAGACTAATTATACTGTCATATTATTATCTCTGTATTACTATATTATTATTATTATTTTTATTACTGTTATAATTATCACTTATTTGTTTGTTTACTTTTACTTTTATTAATTATTATTTCTTCCAATTACTTAACTGTAATTTGTATTTGACTTTTAATAAGTTTGTATGTAATGTAATTCAGTCATCTACACTGTGCTGAGTCTGTAATTGGCCTTGCGGCTGTTGACTCGGCACATTAATAATAAAGAATTGAATTGAATTGAATTGAATTGAATTATTATTATTATTATTATTATTATCATCATCATCATTTATTATAATTTGGCATACTATTTCTGTATTATCATATTCTTATTACTATTTAGTATTAATATTAATCTTTGACTTGTCCCATATCATGTATAATGATTCATGGATGAAATAAAATTGAATTGAATTGAATTCATTTACAAATGCCATGTTGCTTCATTTCATGTGGGTCTAAAGTTGTTCCACTACTTTATATATTTTTATGTATAGCACTGTGAGAGACATCCTTATTGTCTTTTCTCCTTGGTTGGTTGTTTCTCTCCTCTCTGTCATATTCATATTAAATTCTTACGTAACTCTACAATTAACAGTTAGAGGCAATGGATGTGTATGATTTCACTTGTAGCTGAAGAGGTACTCAGGTAATTCATTTTTAATAAACTGAGGCTTTTGCTAAGTAATTTCTGAAGTAAAATTTTTCGTTCATAAGAAAGTTTAGGTCTCGTACGCCATATCAGAAGTTATCTAAGACTAAACACTTTCTTGAAGGTAGGTTCAAAATCCACTCTCTGCATACTGGGCCTCACTCATTTATCATAAACCCATTAGCTGTACATTTTCAGACTTCTTGTCACACCTAACCTAAACTTTAAGTCTGACAAGCTTTCCCCTGATTGAATGATCTCCTCCTCCTGTGGTGTGGACATGGGATTAGAATTCAGGAGACAGATGGAATCCAAAAGAAGGTTTCTGACATTAAACTAATGGGAAATAGTCAAGAGAAAGATCATGATCAATCATGATCAAGATGGAAAGAGCAGGTAAGAAAACATGTTATGTAGAAGAAAGGAAGAACATGGGAGAAAATTGAGGTGGAGGAGCTTTGGGAAGACAGTAGTAGATGGATCAGCTTGGTCTTAGTTGACATACACAAAAGTGGTGGGGCCCATGATAGCATAGTTGGTTGAGGCACTATGCTACAAGCTGGAAGGTCATGGGATCGAATCCCAATGAGGTGGATCTTTTCAAATTACCTAATCCTTCCAGCCGCACTATGGCCTTGGGGTCAACTCAGCATCTAACATAAATGAGTACCAGGAATATTCCTGGGGGTAAAGGGCGGCTGGGGCGTAAGGCAGATAACCTCACTGCCATCTGTGAGACGATTGTCTAGAAATGTGGGAGCCTCAAGATCTCACAATCCAATTGGCCTCCATGGCCTGTTACAGGGAAACCTTTACCTACTTACATGAAAGTGGAAACATCAAAAGAAGAAAAATATATAGGATTTAATAGTTGTAGACACGTGGTTTTATTTGCTGTTTGCTAGAAAACCTAGATTGACGGCCATGGGGATCCATTGCGCTGACCAGGAGACACCCTCTAGCCGCAGAAGTTGGCACTAACTTCGCAGACAAGCGGCAGTTGCTGTTTCTGCCCTCAGGTGAGGGGGGTAGAAGACTCCTACTCTGTGGGTATATTAGAAAGAGATAATCTCAGTCACTCAGTGGTTAGCTCTTTCTAACAGACCTCACAGAATCTACCACCCTCTCACCTGAGAGCCAGAACAGATCCAGTTTGTGAAACATTGTGTTCTGTAGAATACCGGTTAATGTCCACAGTTCAACACCCAGTAGTAATTAAGCTGCTTGATTTGCAAACATAAATATATGAGAAATCAGGTTGTATATTAAATAAGTGATCAAGATACAGTTCTTTAGAATTATTATATACTCATACCAGTCCTTACATTGGTCATGTGGATTGTTTCCAACACTGAAATGAAACTGTCTACTTTCTCACAATAATGGAGAAGAGCTGCAGAAGCAGATGCCCTGTTACCTTCTAAATTTTTTTAGCTTTGTCTTGCTTCTTGCTTAATGAATTAAGTTTCAGTCATGCTTATCAGTTGAATTCTTATGTTCTGATTAAATTATAATTATTCAACTGTTGTCTCATTTTCAGAATTCTGGCTGTTCTGGTCTACATGCAGGATAAGAAGCTCTCTGTATATTCTGTATATCCATGACAAACCATAATGTCAGTGGCAGGTGAGTGATTGTTGTCCTGATGAGGTTTTGCATGTATTTAGTGTAAGAGTATGAATTCCAGAAACTCTGCGCAGAATTGTCTTGTAGATTACATGTAATAGTTATCAGAACTGGATATCATGTAAGTAATATTCATTCTACCTTTAAGAAAATATGCCAAGTCCATATTTTGGGTTGAACTTCTGCACAGTTTTTCTTTGTGTTATGTTCAGATTCTTTTCACATAAAATCAAATTATTTATAGTTTTATTGAATTTGCATTGTGTAGATGATGTCCTTGTTTTTGTTTTTATTCAACACTTAAAATTATTTGCCTATTTGCTACAGGGTTTCATACCAAAACTTTGAATGGACTTCTGCCCCATATGTACTAAATACCCAGCACATCTCATCCTCCTTGATCACTCTAACCATATTTAATGAGAAAAAGCAAGCAATTTTCTCCATAATCCTGTTGTTGCCCCTTCCAGGTCCAAATAATCTCCTTAGTAACTTGTTTTCAAAAACACACATGATAGTATATTGTAACACGATGACTGAGAACCGGAATAGTGAAAGAAGAATAGGCGGCTGTTGCTAGGCAACGGCGAGGTAAACACGTTTCCGCAACAATGAATAAACACACAACAAAAGGGGAACTTTTGGGAGTGGCGTTTTCTGTGCTGTTCGTGCCAGGGCTGTAAGATGAGGACTTGAGGGTGGTGAAGCTTACGACCGTTCAATTGAACAAACTGCCGTTGTACCATAAGAAACATAAGTTGTAAGATAGGTATGATCTCTTTTACAAAGACTTTACTGACAGAGGAAATGTATATAGTGCAAATGGAAGAATTTTCAATAACACGCTTTGTGTGCAATACATGCACTTGCCGAAAGGCCAAGTATGTGCATAAGAGACAAACTCATCTTCTCGTCAGAGAGGATGTCACATAAAGACTATGACCGCAAAAGTTCAGTTGCAAAAATAATCTATAGTCGCGAATCTTAAGGGGCTTGACGCCAAGACAAACTGATTGGCGATAAACCGCCAACCGTAAAATGATTTTGGCTTTGAGTTGGTCAATCGGAGAGCGGAGCCGTTACTATAATTGAGCAGTCGCAGCTGGTGGTAGGCCATGGGCATGGAAGCACAAGAATCTCAATTTTGTTAGAAGCCTCCACCTAGCAACTACTAGTGAAAACGAACCTGGAAAACTGGTTGTGTTCTGTAGATATTTCTAGAGCGTGAAAATTAGTGACAGTGTCATAGTTAGTTGTAACTACGAGTTACAATTGTTCAGTAAATACAATAACCATTCAGAACCCCGTGTCTAGTTACTAACACGTGACAACATATTTATCTGCCTTGGTCATTGAAAATTGAAAATGGGGTAAATTGCGTTTAACATATTAACGGCAATAACGGTTAAGGAAATAATTAACCAAAGAGTCCGGGTAATAGTTGGTTAATATTATTGTCAGTTTGTTCAGTATTTTTTAAAAGAGACCCGCAGGCATGATTATATTATTAGTTTGTTCTGTAGGTCTGAGTGCCTCGCTCATTATATATAACACTGAGACCAGGGTGACTAGCCAGTTTAGATCAGTGGCAAACACGGTGAATGTGCTACTGCACAGTCGGTCTCCCCAGTGACCCCTGTTGTCAAAAGTAATACTAGAAACGAACTTACTGGAGAAAGTTTGGTTTGGAGGGCTGTCTCAGTCAGCGATTCGTGGGGCTTCAGTGCAGTTGTTACAAGTGCTGGTATGTGTCTCTTGTCGCTTTCTGTTTACCGCTGACGGAAGAAAGGCCAGGTACCGTAATGAGAAATGTAAATGAAGAATTTTGAGTGTTAAAGGCTTGAACTGGATAATCCAGAAAACCACTGTCTTCTGGGATGTACCGCAGTGTAATCTGACATAAAGTTACCACAGTTTCGGAGGAAGATGCTATCTTCATTTCCATCTTGTAGCTTGAAGGTTGAGGCAGCTGGTTCTTTCGAAACGTAAATGTCAGATTACACGACGTACTGTAATAGCCCAGAAGATATTAATCTTTATATTTACTGCCATGAAAACCCAGAATCTCGTGTCGGTGCATGTAGCTGAAGATAGGGTCAAGTAGCGGGTGCTTTTGAACATGAAAATGAACCTTCGGTTTCCACGAAAGACAAGGAAAATTTCGTCTAGATGATTGACTACTAGCTTCTCAGGAAGGGCTTTGCTGCATGGCATTTGTTATTGAAAATCATTTTGTACGGTTCTAAAAAAAATTATGGCAATTACATGAATTTGTGTTCATCGCATTGAGAAACAGATGAAAGATGACTGACAAGCCGATATTTTACTAAATTTATACTAATACACCATTTCCCTTTAAAGCGCAACCCAAACTGCAACACCATAAGCAAGCTTATAGATGACATCAGTGTAGCATGACAAATGAGTTGTTTTATTGTTTATTTGCGCGAACTTATATAACATCTTTACAACGGACGCTGAATACGTATCTACTAGAAGACAAGCGAAGTGTTTGTGGATTACTGCTGGCGGTAGGCTGTGTTTCTGTTCCTCTAGGCTTCATGCATTATTCCAATAGGCCCTTCTTTTGAGAAATCACGACAGAACAAAGTCAAGCTTTTTGTGGTCTGGAAATCGGGATGGTTAAAGCCCACAAACAACAGTGCGATTATGGAACTATAAAGTTTATTTTGGACTCTAACCATCGTCTTGTATATTCATTCATCAGTAATCTGTCAGCCGACAGGTCCACAGTCTCTTCCAAAACAGTTCCTCCACTTGATGCGATCTAGAGCTTTCTCCTTCAAATAAAAATATCCTCTTCTGTCCCCAAGATCATCCAGCATCTTCTTACGTCTTCTGGTCACTTCTATCCGCCCCTCTCTCGCATACATGGTATCTCTGTTTTTGGAAAGAGACAAAAAAACACGTCATCAGTAAGTAGCTCAGACTAAGAGCGTGTCTTTACTGCTATGGAAAGTTCATTTCGAAACATCTTTAACAAGCAAAAAGGAATCCATATACGCAAGTTCTCCATGCCCAAGAATCGGCGTGACAGGGTCGGGTCTGACCCAGCTACTGTTTCTAAACAAATTTGTCCTTAATCTCTCAGAGTACGTTCTCAAAGTGGTTTTTTGTCTTATATATACCAGACGATGGATAGAATCCAAAATACACATTATAGTTCTGTACAGCATACACCATCGTCAGAATCCTTCCAAGTCTAACAGTGCGATTACCAAATAACTATAATAATAAAGTTGCAATAAAGAATTTGTGTATTTGCAGCGTGGCTAGCCGTTCCGTTATGCTAAAAACAGCAATCCCTTTTATTTTTTACAAATAGAAAAATGAATTGGGTCGGTAAATTCTGGTTGCATTCGGCATTATTTGTCCCGTAAAAAAGTACCATAATTCGTATTCGAGACCTGCACACCAAACGTCAACATACCATGAACACAGAGGATTTCTGTGCACTTTGGGTAGGGTTTTGAGTACTCCACGGTGGACAGTTTTGACTGTTTATATAACTACTCAACTGGAACCCTACTTCGTAGGGGGGAAGATATTTTCCAACACAAGAGCCCTTTAACACACAAAGGCACTATTGAATCTAGTTGTTGCAACTGATGCAGTCACTGAAATCCGTGGGGCTCCAGCATTACCCATTTGCCCAGTTGATGAGCACTTGTTGTCAGTGACAAATCAGTTTTCTCTGACAGTTTTGTCAAAGGTTCCATTAGCGGTCGGATCAGTCTCTCTTCAGCGTTACAGAGCTTACCACTTGTCAAAAACTGTCCTAAGTAGGCCATGTCCTTGTCGTAAACAATGTCCTGTTCCGAATTTTGTTATCAGTTTGCATTGGCGATCGGATCAGTGTCTATTCAACGTTACAGAGCTTACCACTTGTCAAAAACTGTCCTAGTAGGCCTTGTCCTTGTAAACGCTTTCCGGTTCCGAATTTTGTTATCAGTTCGTGTATTGCTGCAATATTCGGTTCTTCCTTGTAAGGGTACGCATTGCCGAACGCTTCACGAAAAGCAGCAAGTGATTTCAATGAAAAGCAATGTTCGAGAATGTACGTTCTTCTCGTGAATACACCGTGCTCGCACATATAGAGCTTCCTCGTAACAGATTACAGCGGCAGCCTAGCAACCAATGTTATAATGACGAGGAACGTTGCAAGGTTCCATTAAACGAGTAAAACACGTGTTTTTATTTCTGTACCTTAGTGCGTGATCGTTGTTTGGGTTGCATTTTTAATGGTACATCTTGTATTTATCTGTTACGCAAATATATACACATTGCGTCCTCTGGTAACCATACACATTAAAATAAATACAAGATACTGATTTTAGGCCATTGCCGTGGTGTCCTGTTGATTTTGCTCTTGGGTGTGTGCTCATGGTGCCAAGGCTGATGTCAGTGTCATATACATAAGTTATTCGTTTACATCTTTGTGTCCATAACGTAAGGTGTCATTCTTTTGGGACGCCCGCCATTCGGAGAACGTTACAAATGAAGAATTCGGGCCTGAATATTTACGGCGTGTCTGCGGCCTCGAGTTTCGCACTCTGAAGCAATCCGGCTTGGATGACGCGTTGGGGTACTTTCCTTTCTTCGGGTTTAGCTCAATTGGTGTAGCGACGGGATATTGGCTAGACGGCAGGAGTTCGATTCCCGGCAGGAACACCATCTTTCTCTACTCCACAGCACCCAGACCGACTCTGGGGCTCACAAAGCCTTCTATACATTGGGTACTGGGGGGTCTTTTCCCTGAGGTAAAGGGACAGGGCCGTGAAGCTGAGCACTCCCCTCTTTATAGCCCTAATGTCATGAATTGGGAGATATACCTGCACTTCCCAATACGTCTTCATTGTGTGGTGCATTATTAATTAAGCGCAGGGACAACCTTGCCTTCTGCCTATGTCACGGTCCTTGGTCGGTTCCATTCTCTTCACTTCAGCTACTTAATAGTTTTGATTTAATATAAATTTCTTTCGGTGTTCCAAAATAAAGGCAACTCATGCACACTTCACTAAATCCCCTCGAATAGATACTGACGTCATGACTATGTTTGTTCAAACAACACTGTTCATAGTACAAAGTTTTGTGCAACACTTCTTGTTGCGCCAACTCTTCAGCCATTCAAGAAAATTCTTATTATGGTCTCAAGAGATTCATGGGCGTGTTCACAATAACCTTCCACTGGTCTGTACCCTCAACTAGATGAATCCAATCCACAGTTTTCCTTCCTGTTTTTTTTTTTCAGACCCATTTAATATCTTCCCAGGGCCGCGCCACAGCTCAAGCGGTTAGTCGCTGGCTTCCCACCGCTGCAGGCCGGGTTCGATCCCGGGTTTGGTCAAGTGGGATTTGTAGTGGACAAAGTGGCGCTGGGGCAGGTTTCCTCCGAGTATTTCGGTTTCCCCTGCCAATCTTCATTCCACCAATTACTCCACAATCACCCTCACCTATCGTCTGGGGCTGGGACAATAGGCCAGAAGTGGCCGCAGTACAAGGGACTTAGTCCCACCCCACTAGCATTAAAAAAAAATAATTATCCCTAATATCCTTATGTGTACGACTGCTAAATTACATAAGTCTCTTGCACAAAAAGCCGATCACAGTGGCCGCGCAGTCTAAAGCATGAACTATCTTTGCCCGCTCGAACAGTGGGATCATGGGTTCGAATCTCACTCGAGGCATGGATGTTTGCGTTTTTTCACTTCGCTTAGAGGGGCGTGGGCTCCAGCTGGGTCCACTGGGCACGGCGGCCACTGATTGGCCTAATGTACCTGCCCCGGGTGATTATGATGATGGAGAATTTGGTAGAATGAAGATTGGCAGGGGAAACCGAAGTACTCGGAGAAAATCCGCCCCAGCGCCACTTTATCCACCACAAATCTCACTTGACCAGACACGGGCTCGAATCCAGGCCTCCGCGGTGGGAAGCCAGCGACTAACCGCTTGATCTATGACGCGGTCTTTGTAATGTTTGCGTTTATTATGTGTTTGTGTTGTCTTGTGTAGTCAGCGGCCTTGCGACGGGCTGATCACCCGTCCAAGGAGTCCTATCGACTGTCTTGGGATTAAGAAACTGAAATGAAACAAAGCGTTTCACGGATGCCCTATGCTCCAACGTGGGAATAAAAGGAGAGAGAGACATCTTGCACACAAATAAAAATTAGGAGATGTAAATAAAGAACTAGATTGTAAAATTTAGAGAGAGGTCAGGAATTGCTGTAACAAAATCTTCTGCCTCTTCAGTCCCATCCCGTCCTTTGCGATCTGTCTGGTTTCTACCAGACCATATTAAGGTGCGTCCACATTACTCGCGCTCGCCAGGCTTGTGCTCGTTGGGAGACTCGTCTGGCTTATACTTGTGCTCTTAAATCTTCGTCCACACTACTTCAGTTGCTCGCCAGGCTTCGGCGCGTGAGGATCCGTATATTTATGGCATTGAATAATGGAATGATTCGTCAAGTGACCTGGATAGAATATGAATAGAAGTGATCGTATCACAATCACAGGTACTCTTCCAGCATTTGAGTTACCAACCCCGTATTTGCCAGGAGCCGAGACAGTTCATTCGGTATAGCGAAGGGCTTCTGGCTGGACGGCTGGGGTTTGATTCCCGGCAGGGCAAGAAATTTTTCTTTACTCCATAATAGTCTAGACCGGCTCGGGGGTCCACACAAAACTCCTATTCAGTGCGTACCGGGGGCTCTTTCCCAAGGGGTAAAGCGGCTGGAGCGCGAAGCTGACAGCTCACCTCCATTAGTTCGGAGGTCAAGAATGGTTGAGCCGTACCTCCATTACTTACTTACTTACTTACTCATGGAGCTGAGCCCTTCTGAAGGAGCCGCCAATTCTGCAGCTACTCAAGAATTTCCCAGAATTTTATGGAACCCGAAGGTTCATTACCGTGTTCACAAGAGCCCTCCACTGGTCCCTATCCTGAGCCAGATCTATCCAATCCATACCATCCCATCCTATCTCTCTAAGATCCATTCTAATATTGTTCACCCACCTACGCCTTGGTCTTCCCTGTGGTCTCTTTCCTTCAAGCTTTCCCACTATAATCCTCTACGCATTCCTCGTCTCCCCCACTCGTGCTACAAGGCGTGCCTCAATTGCACATAAAAAAGATCGAAGGCAAAGCCTTCAGAACATTTATAAAATTGTATTCCCTATTCAAAAGTGAGCGATTAATCGCTAACATTAAACTGATCCTCCACAAAGCTCTCATTAGATTCGTAATGACTTATGTTAGTCCTGGGAATTCGTGACAGATACCCATGCAATGAAATTGCAGCTCCTGCAAAACAAGGTTCTCCGCACCATTGGCAATTTTCTAAGGCGCACACCGGTCCGCGATTTGCACATGGCTTTCAAAATTCCGTACGTATATGATTATATCACAAAATTATGCAGGCAACAAGTAGAAGTCATATAAAACCGTGATAACGAAAATGCTAGCAATGTTGCTCAAGGCGAAGCCCGACATGGAAAGTATAAGAGGCTTAAACTTGGCGGCGGTCAGGCATACGACCGTTCAAGTGACTAGACTGCCGTTGTAGCGAAAGTTACTAGAAATATGGCATAATTTGCTGTACTGAGCCTGGACTTAACAGAGGTCCTGTATTATTTTGTATGTATTTATTAACATGTTTAACATGTAAAATGTAAATATCCTTTACATTATGACAAGTGACTTACTACTGCAGACAGTGACAATGACAAAAGACAGACCCGTCTTCTCGTCAGAGAGGGCGCCCCACAATAACAAGACCCTAACTGTCAAACCGTAATAAATATCTGGTCATGAGCCCCACATTGGGCTCGACACCAAGTCTGACTGACTGACAGACCGTCAGTTGCAATGTAACTTTGACTTTAACTTTACTTTGACTTTGACTTTGAAACAAGTGAGTGGCAGAATTCATGCAAGGGCAGTTACGAGTCTGTCGTAAACTGGAGGAGTGAATCCAGAAGAATTTTTAGTTCGAGGTTCCAGAGTGAAGACGAAATAGCAAGAAGACTTCATAATGATTTCAAGTGCTGGTTTCTGTGTTGAGAACCGTTGCCAGGAGACGACTAGTGAAGTCGGACAATCGTAATGCGTGTGCAACGGTGAACTGGAAATTGTGTAAATCAACGATAGCGCTGTGTTCAAGTGTAATTAAGAGAAGTTGTAATCAAGGCGTTAATAAATCCACTCATCCGAACTAGAAACCATTATTTTCGTCATGTGTACCACCCGACACATGACAATATTTATGTTACATTAGATTTTTTAATTTAATTTAATTTATTGATACTTCAAGTAATCCATACAGGTGATAAGTCACCACAGATATAGAAGTAGTCCATTATTAAAATTGAGTACAATGGTAGCAGTTATAACGCACAACCTTGTCAATAAATAACACTCTGTAATCAAGGACACTATTTCTATCAGTCACAACAATAGATATATACAGGGTGTCCCAGGAGTTTGGTGCCATACTTCAGGAGCGTACTGAGGGTTCCCTATAGAATAACTTTGAAAGAGGAACCCATGTCAGCAAACGTAAAATAGCAGCGCTAGGGCAGCATTTAAAATCATTTCGTTTAAACTTGGCGCCTCAATGTCCAACTGCATTGCATAGAGGAAGAGCCATCCACCAGCACTCGTGCCATTGCCAAGATTGTGGGGACATCCAAATAAAATATTTGGAGGATCCTGCATCACCAACAGCTTTATCCATATCATCCAACGCGAGTACAAGACGTAGGTCCAGCTGACTTCGTGCCACGAGTTCAATTTTGTCAGTGGATACTGAACCAGTGTTCACATCAGCCCAACTTCCTGAATCACGTGTTATTCACAGACGAACCGCAGTTTACAAGGGATGGCTGGTTCAACTGTCGAAACAATCACGTTTAGGCTGACGAAAACCCCAACGTTGCTGTAGTTGGTTACCACCAGGCGCAATTTTCTGTCAGTGTCTGGGCGGCCATCATTGGCGATCACTTGATTGGCCCTTTCCTCCTACCACCGCTACTCAATGGGCCCTTTTACAAGGTGTTTCTGGAACGTATCCTTCCGACTTTGCTAGAAGACGTGCCACCGATTGTGCGGGGGCAAATGTGGATACAGCATGACGGAGCGCCGGCACACTTCAGCATTGGATCACGAGACTACCTGGATTCTGCTTTTCATGGTCATTGGTTAGGAAGAGGAGGCCCAGTGCCTTGGCCACCCCGACCTCCAGACTTGACACCTCTGGACTATTTCGTCTGGGGCCATGGGAAAAGCCTGATCTACGACACGCCTGTGGATAATGAATTCGAGCTGTTGGCCAGAATACTTGTTGCATGTGACGTGATCCGTGAGACATCTGGACTATTTGAAAAGGTGCGCCAAAGTTTCTTTCGTAGATGTAACGCATGCATTGAAAATATAGGGCGCCAGTTCCAACATCTACTCTAGCAGGTGAGTCTTAAGAGTTTGGAAGGGGTAATATGCCTGTGCATGTTCTTCGACATTGAGGCGTAAAGTTTAAACAAAATGATATTAAATGCCGCCCTAGCGCTGTTATTTTACGTTTGCGGACATGGGTTCCTATTTCAAAGTTGTTCTATAGGGAACCCTCAGTACGCTCCTGAATTATGGCACCAAACAGCTGGGACATTCTGTATATATATAAGACATGTCATATATCAATATTTTTGCTAAAGACGATAAATGAAATTTAATTGAACTGGACTGAACTGAATAGTAATATTAATATAATAATTATATAACTATTTATTGTTAATAATTTCCATAAATCATGTCTCTCTTTAATTTCCTTCAAAATTCTGTTTCATTTTACTTTTATGTACACTATGTATATGTTTAAGTGCATTATAAACTTTTGTTACATTCTCTTATTGCCAGTATTTTTTGTATCCATAACATGTTCATATATATTTACTCTTCATCAATTATTTCTGGACCAGGTCTTTACTAACTTTCTTTCTTACAAGCTGACTTCTTTATTCGTTTTTGTAGGAAGCTTCATATGATGCATCTGTTCATTTTGTGGGCCATTCTACTGGGTCCTCTTGTAACTGTGAAGGCTGATTCATGTTATGCTCAAAGTAGCAATCCATACGTGCTGTTTTCTACATACACGCCCTATGAGTTTGTGCATGGGAATGCAGAGGACCCAGTGTACATTCCTCGTGAGTAATATTTTTCATAATTTTGTGTATCCCATGGTTGCAATATGTTGATATTTCAGAATGTGAAGCAGTCACCTGTCGTTCTTATGGATAACAGTAGATCAACTATTCTAGCTAGCTGTAGTCCAGCCATGATTTAATGATCAGCACATAGCTCTGGCCACCTCAAAACAGCTTTGTCAGACATTGATGTCAGCGCTGCCTGCTTCAAAATCCTACACTTGACTAACTTTGGCAGATTACATTCACATTCTGTGGACTTAAAAAACTTAAATATTCATAGCAGACTTTGAATAGTTACAATATCTATTTTAGTGTGTACTGCTTACTGCCATGCAAATTTAGTGCTTTGTAATTACCATGATTTCTAATAGCATATGATGTGAATTTTAATTTTGAAACTTCTGAGTTTACAACAACAGCACATAATATTTATTGATTACAAAACATTTTTTGAAAAGGATCATTTGAATTTATTGCAGAATGTCAGCCTGTACAATTCTGGATTTTATCTCGCCATGGAACAAGATACACAGATGCCATTGGTATTAATGACATGTGGTCGCTTATTTGTTTACGAGATGAGATCATCACTAATATCAAGAATGGACGTAAGTATCATTATAATATTATCGTGGTAAGAACGATATACAACCATAATTTGTGAGAAGGATAGAATTGGAACTTTTAGATCAACCAAATAAATGTGATGAAAGGGCCCTTAGGGGTCAAATCACACTTTTGTGTATAGGCCATGTCTGTTTGCCCCAACATTTTCTACAGAGAGCTGAAAGTCATTTACTTATATATCAAGGATTTGAAATTGACTATGAGGAATGCCGTTTTCTGGAATGTGATGCCATGTAGAATATTGATGATGGATTTTGTTGTCCTTTGTGCTTCAGTTTCTTTTCACACTATGAGCCTTTCACATTCACATTTTTCAATTTAAAACCACGTCCATTTTTATTTGTAAATGACTTCTCCTTCCAGTGGGTTGTTAGTCTTTACCACAGATAATTATCATATACAGTTCACAACGTAATACCTTGAAAGCAGTTAATGGTCCTGCCAATGGATTGTTGGACAAAAAGTGGTAATCCAATGGTAAAATTTCGGCCTTTAAGCTTCTGAACAGGCTCTGTGTATCAGCATTTCATCCAGCACTGATTTAACAGTTATCATCCTGTATCTGAGGCATCAGAACATCTTCCATAAAAATTGGATTTGCTATCAGATGGCTAGTTTGATGATTGATCAGGAGAGGATATAGGGGAATCATCTTACCCTTAATTAGGAATTCGTTTTGTAATATCTAATATGTCTCAGTAGGCCTAAAACTGGAAGGAATGATGTAAGTTTTGAGGTTATAAAGTGTTGAATAGAAATGGTGGGATGACTGAACNCGGAAGGAATGATGATAGTGATACTCTACTGAATCAAATTTTGAGGTTATAAAGTGTTGAATAGAAATGGTGGGATGACCGAACATTGAAATTGAAGAAAGGAGTAGTTGTGGCTTGTTTATAGATAAAACTTAAAGGATTGATATCACTCAGCCACTTCCTGGCTCTTGCTGGCTTCTAGTAAGAAAGTGACAGAAACATGTAAATAACTAGGAAGGTGCACCATATTATGTAGCTTGTAGGACTGTGGTAAACCATAGAAAGTCCAAGGCCAGTACCTCCAAGTCCTAGTAGGACTAATAGCATCTCCAGAATCCACAAGTGGGAATAAAATTGCAGAATGTCATGTGTATTAAAATTACATGTAATGCCAGTTTAAAAATATAATGAAATTTGTTTGTTGCAATTTCCTAGGAGGTAGATTGTGTGCCCAGGATGTGGACAATCTCAAGAAGTGGACACCACAGGTTGTTCAAACTTTGTCAATGAATTTGACACCTCAGGGTTATAAAGATGCCTACAATATGGCACAGCGCTTCAAATCTAGATTCCCAACATTGCTCAACCAGTCATACAGCCCTGACAAATTTGAGGTTAGTGCTTTCAAAACATTCTCACTTTAAAGTATTGTGATATAATCTGGTATAAAATGCATGTCACTACCAGGATTTTCTTTGTAGAACCTGTGAAAACTGAATTTCTTTATATATTAAGTATGCATACTGAAATTCAGATAAATTATAAATTAATGATTATCAAGTTTGATGCAAAATTTATATTTATTCTTGAGCTTCATGGAGATAACTGATAAACCATGGTAGCTAGACATATGAAATTTTATATAGATATAGATTATAAACACATTATAAATTTTATGCTGTACTTGTTCATTGTGTTATACATATGGTGACAACATGAACATGTATATGTGACAGATTTCAGGTAGTAAGAACATAAACTGATAGCGATTATGAACAGGAATAGATTACGATTGTGTACGTATTTCAGCATCCTGTTGCAATTGTTCGCATTAGCGTCCATCTGTCTATGATCCGTCCAAATTGCAATACTTTTTATTTTTCACTTCAATACACACTCTAACGCTACGTTTCGGCCTCAAACGGCCATCTTCAGGTGTGGTTTTTTTTTTAGATATTCCATTAAGATTGTGTCGAAATTGTGTTGAAATTGTGTCGAAACTGCTGCACTGTTTCACTGTTCTAATTCATTTTAAAAAACCAAACACTGTGGTCTTCTTTTTAATTAAAATGAGATAAAATTCTTTTATACTTTGTTACTTATTGTTTTACTTCACTCAGGGTGTCTTCATTTCCGTAAAATTTAAGACGTTTTCCTTGGCAGCTTGTTCCTTCCTCACCTTAGTTATTTTCTCCTGGTTGTGTTCCCTCCTCGATGTGTGGTGTTGTCTATGCTAGTATTTTCGACACAATCTTAGTGGCATATCTGTCAAAAAACACCTGAAGATGGCCGTTTGAGGCCGAAACATGTAGTGTTAGAGAGTGTATTGAAGTGAAATATAAGAAGTGTTGTAATTTGGACTGATTATAGACAAATGGACGCTAATAGGAATAGATTACAGCTGAAAATTATAAGGTACACTAGTTACTTAATGCAGATAGAAACATGTGAGGAAAGTAGAGATTGTAGTTCTTTCCACAACCTTCTATTTGTATGTCATGCTTTCAATCATTTTGCTCAGTACCCCTATGTAACAACACTGTTGTTCTGTAGAGTTCAATTCACTAAAATATAATAAGATAGTGTTTTGTTTCAGGTCCGATTCACAAACACACAAAGAACTACACTTACTTCGTTTGCATTTATTGATGGTATATTTGGCAGTACTGCTCATGTGATATTACCTAAACCTATATCTGATGATCCTGTTCTTAGGGTAAGAATTTGGAAGATATATTCACCTAACATAGAGAAATACTTGTATAGTAGTTGTTAGTTTGACTGGGTCCAACTTAGAGTAGTATTTGTTTTTGCTGTGTTTGAGGGCACATTATAATTACAAACTTTTCCTCAATATGCAGTTTCTTTACTACCACAAGAATATTTTGTTAAAAGATTGCAATGCTAAAGAGAATAAAGAAGACATTTTCAAAAAAACAATTGGGAATGAGAGTTCACACAAAATTAGTAATGATAATGGAGTTAGAATAGTAAACTTTGCTACATCCAAAACTCTTATTGCCAAAAGTACAATGTTCCCACATTGTAACATTCATAAATTTGCTTGGACATCTCCTGATGGAAAGACAAGACAACCAGATTGATCAAATTTTGACATACAAGAATGTCATTAAAGTATACTTGATGTACAATCATTAAGGGCAGCAGATTGTGATAGTGACCACTGTCTGGTGGTGGCAAAAGTTAGGGAGAGACAGGCAGTGAGTAACCAAACAATACACAGAGTTCATATGGAAAGATGCAATCTCAATGAATTAAACAAGGTAGAGACTAAAGAACAGTATCCTGTTGAAATCTCAAATAGGTTTGCAGCTTTTGAAAACTTAGACACTGAGGTGGATATTAATAGAGCTTGGGAAAATATTTAGAGAGAATATCAAAATTTCAGCCGAAGAGAGTGTAGGATATTATGAACTGAAGTAGCATAAGCCATGGTTCGGTAAGGGATGCTCAAAATTATAAACCAAAGGAAACAAGCCAAATTGCGCTGGTTACAGGATCCAAATGAAATAAATGGGGATAATCTGAACAATATAAGATGTGAAACCAGCAGGCATTTCAGGAATAAAAAGCGGGAATATCTGAAAGACAAAATTGATGAGCTTGAAGAGAAATAGAACAAGAACATTAGAGATTTGTATAGAAGAAAAAGTGGCTGTAAGAGGGGTTACCAACCTAGAAGTAACTTGATGAGTGATGATGAGAATGGTGATCTGCTTGCAGATTCCCACAATATTTTGAATAGGTGGACGAACCACTTCTCTCAGTTATTGAGTGTACAGAGGCTCAGTGATGTTGGGCAGAGAGAAATACATACAGCTGAGCCACTAGTAGCTGATCCTAGCCCTCTTGAGGTTGAAATTACTATTGCAAAGTTTAAAAGGTATAAATCGACAGTTAGTGATCAAATTCTGGCAGAATGGATTCAAGCAGGAGTTGAAATATTATTAGTTACTATAGGATTCTGACGATGGTGTATAACACACTGATATGTTAGGTTTTTGGACTTTATCCATCGTCCTGGTTTTTAAGATAACAAATAAAAACACGGCGTTTCGGAAACTGGATCTGTTTCCGTCCTCAGGTGAAGGAAAACCCTATTCACTTGGGTCCGTTAGAAAGAGCTAAACAGATCCAGTTTCCGAAACGTCGTGATTTTATTTGTTATCTTAAAAACCAGGACGATGGATAAAGTCCAAAAACCTAACATATCAGTGTGTTGAATTTTAGTATTATCATAGTAATANAAGCTAATTAGTTCTATTTAGAATAAGGAAAAATTGCCTGATCAGTGGAAGGCGTCTATTACTGTACCAGTTCACAAGAAGGATGATGAAACTGACTGTAGTAATTATTGGGGGATATCACTGCTATCAACTTCATACAAAATTTTATTCAATATTCTTCTCTCAAGGTTAAGTATAGATGAAATTACTGGGCATCATCAGTGTGAGTTTCGAGGTAACATGTCAACTACTGATCAAATCTTTTGCATTCATCAGATACTGGAGAAAAGATGGGAATAAACAGGACAGTTCATCAGCTATTCATAGACTTGCTAGATACTACTGGATTGAATAAGATTTTGTCTGCACAATTTTTTACTTTTCACAGCCATCTAACTATTGTGATGACTGGAAAAATGTAGTGCGTGATAATCCAGATACAACAAAGGAGTACAGTACTTTTAAGAAGGGTCCTGAAATGAATGTAGTTATACAGTCAGTCTCCAATAGATTGGGATTTACCAGCTCAATTAGTTATGGTATGTATATGATATTTTGATCTATGAAAGGATAAAGCTTTATAATAACGTTGTTCTCTGAACTCCGTATTTATTATTGCTTATCATTAATGGCAAGAAATATCCCGCTTGGTTGATTCTTGCTTGGTGGAAAACAACCTTTCCAGCTTATATTATGTTGTTGTATATCTCTTTCCTTTAGATTTGTACTGTATAATAAATGTCTTGTTATCCGGCATGTATAGGGACTAGGGTCTGCTGGTTACATGAAAAAACTCTTACAGAAATTCAATACAAACTCAAAACAGCATGTTTGCACTTTAGTTCTGGCATAGGAGTCTTCTGAGGTGACATAGTAGGTTGACGGGCAAAAGATTTTGGATATGGTATATATGCCATAACACAATCACAGATTCGTCTAGATCCTACTGCAATGGCACCTGCTTGAGGAAACACAATAGGCACCTGGTCTCTTACAAGGAAAGCTTTACCTTCTTATCTTTTTTTTTTAATATTTTAATTGACTCGTTCATTTTCAGTGGGGCGTGCGGTAGTGTAGGTGGTTGAGGCACTATGCTACAAGCCGGAAGGTCGCGGGTTCAAGTCCTAATGAGGTCATTGGAGTTTTTTCTATTGGCCTAATCCTTCCAGCCGCACTGTGGCCCTGGGGTCGACTCAGCATCTAACAGATTTGAGTACCAGGAATATTCTTGGAATGTTCTTGGGGGTAAAGGGTGGCCAGTGTGTAGGGCTGACAACCTTGCCGCCATCTACGAGCCGATCGTATAGAAAATGTGGGAACCTCAACATCTCACAACCCTATGGGCTCCACGGACTGTTACAGGGATACCTTTACTTTTTTACCATCATTCTCAATGACGGTCTATGACTACATGAAAGTCTCATTTTCTCACACTTCTTTTGTTTGTTCGTGTTTGTTTTTTTTTTATTGTGGTAGTATAGTTGGATGAGGCACCATGCTACAAGCCAGAAGGCCGCAGGTTCAAGTCCCGATGAGGTTGATTTTTTCAATTTACTTAATCCTTCCAGCTGCACTATGTCCCTGTGGTCAACTCAGTCTCTAACAGATGTGAATACCAGGAATCTTCCTGGGGCGTAAAGGGTGGTCGGCACGTGAGGCTGACAACCTCACTGCCGACTGTGAGCTGATTCTCTAGAGAAAATGTGAGTGCCTCGATTACTCACAACCCTATGGGCCTTCACGGCCTGTTATAGGGATAGCTTTACCTTTATTTCTGGTTTGGTATACTCAGACTCTTGTGAAATCTTAAAATTCTGTTAATTTTTCAGATACTACCTTACATTTATTAATTTATAAATTAATTTTGTTTTGTTACTGACACAAAACATTATAATTACTGTAGAAGAATGTAAACTTGTTTCTTTTAATAAGGGTAGGCCTTTGTCTTTGGGTTATAATGTTGTGTAGTTCAGAAGAGGTCTGATATTGCTGAGGAACACATTACCTCCATCTTCAGGATCAAAGAGTAATCTGAAACATTGGGTTTTCTCTGAACTGTAAGGTAAAGGTAAAGTTGTCCCTGTGCTTAACGAATTAAGCACTATGCCATGAAGGTGTATGGAGGAGTGGATTCATAGATCCATATTTTCTTGACCTCTGCACTAGCTGGAGGTGTATGGTCAGCTTCACCCCCTGGCTGCATTAGCCCTGGGAAAAAGCCCCAGGTACCCACTAGATAGGAGGTTGGGTGGACCCTAGAGCCGGTCTTTTCTATGAATTCTGCAACCCAGAATATTGTACTCTTCAGAATCATCTGTGTGAGAACCTAAAATCTGTGTTCTTTTAAATTTTGTTAACAAACATTGTAGTTCATAAATTATGTTTTCCTGTTGAAAGCCATAGACATAACTTTGGCAAGTATTTTGAGATCAGTATCGGTAATAAATATATTCACTGATTTTATCATTATTGTCTGGGGATAAGGGATTTAAATTTTTCATTACTGCTAAGAAAAACTGGCAAATCAACCAGTTATTGTTTTCATCAGCTATAAAAGAGTATATTTAAACAAGAGAGAATAATATATATGTATATGTATGTATGCATGCGCTGGTTGGCCTGTGAATGTGTGTGTGTAAAATATATGTTTCATATGTAACTTAGTGTGTCTCTTTGACTGTTTTTTCAGTACTAATTCAGTATAACTAAACTCAGTAACCTGAACACTTATCTATTTTGGACAGGTTTCCATTTAATGGCAACTACTTCTGTGTAACAATATTTCTGTCTGATTCTCAAATGAAGATTTGACAACACTGCTCCGTTATTTCATCTGCATTGAGGCTTTGTGTGTCAAACATTAAAGAGGCCAGCAAATCATAAAATCTTGATACCAATATATGTACTAACAATGTCAGTTAACTTTCAGATAATCTGAGTAAAATGTACACTATTTGTCGATTTGAAAAGGCATGGCATGTGGATAGTGTCTCACCATGGTGTGCTGCCTTCTCTGAGGATGAACTTAAAGTGAGTCTCAACAGCCAGTTTGTTAAATCTTTTACCATTAGTAAAGAACATCTCATTTGGCTGCATGTTATCCAGTATTCATCCAATTGTCAGCATCTTGACACCTCTACAGGATGAATATTCATATTTTTGTGTGTGCAAAAACTGATGTTCTCATAGTAGAAAGTTACTGTCTCCTGTAATGTGATTCCATGTAGTCTGATAGATCATTACTAATGTCTCAGAGGAACATCACCAACAAGCTACCAGACTATATGGTGCCACATCCCAGAAAACAGTAGTCTTCCTACTCTATGTATGTTGATAATGTATTACATTTCAGGATTCTGTTGCATTGAGGTATAACTAATGGTCTTGTTTTCCATCTATAATGCAACAATATTAATTTAACAACATTAATTCTCACTTAATTCATTAAATGTTTAAAATGTCATTAAAATTATTAAAATAACTGTATATTTGGTGTTTGTGTTACATGTTTCAGCCACATAGGGCCATCTTCAGGCAACACATATTTTAAAGGAGTCTGCTGCACTGTGCACTTGGTCAAATAGTATTCATTAAGACGCACCGTCATTGTTGTTATTAACTTTTTTTTTAATTCAGATGTTGTAGAATAATTTTGTAGGATGATCTTCCTAACTTATATACTGCGGCTGTTTTCATATCCCATTTGGTGTGTAAAGCAACACTAGATACACAAAACTAAGTGAGCAGCACATCAAATGAAAACAGCTACAATATATAAGATAGGGAGAAAATCATCCTACAGCATCAGAATTCAAAGAAGTTGATAATAACAATGACGGTGTGTCTAAATGAATACTATTTGAACAAGTACGCAGTGCAGTAGAATCCTTTGAAATACGTGTTGCCTGAAGATGGCCCTATGCAGCTGAAACATGTAGCATAAACACCAAATGTACAAATATTTTAATAATTTTAATGACATTTTAAACTTTTAATGAATATTTAGTGAATTAAGTATAAATTAATTTGTTAAATTAATACTGTTGCATTTTAAATGGAAAACAAAGCCATAAGTTATGTATGTTGGCTTGCGCGCATATGTGACACTGTGACCATTCCCTTAGGACTCCTGAGTACACTGTTAGGAAGCAGTGTTTGGTCATAGAAGTACTTGAAATGACATTTTGACAATGTTCTGCGTGCTAAGTGAAATATACAGTACTGAAGTACATGTGCATGTGTTTGGCATTGATTTTTCTAACATTTACTCTTAATTCAGAATTCTGTATTTGAATATGACAATTTTATGAATAAGAACCAATCTCAGTTGAAAGATATTGTCTCTTTGAGACTTTAGAATGGCAAGATAGTGTGGAATTGGCATCCTTAGAAGTGTAAATGCAACTTCAAGAAGAAATTAGAGTAACAGCAAAACTGAAGATTAAATGAGTAGTGGAATTCCTTTGAAAGTATACTGACTACACTCAGAAGATCACTTACATTAATTATTGTTACAGGTATTGGAATACAAAGAAGATCTATCAGCTTATTACAAGCATGGCTATGGCAGTGATTTGAACAAGAAAGTTGGCTGTGTTTTAGTGAAAGATTTCCTCGATCGTTTCAGGTATGATCTGGAGGATTTAAACCTCTGCAAAGCTCAGTGCTAGAGGATATATAACAGTCTTTTTGTTATTTTAGAAGAAATGGATAATGCTTACAAAATGAAGTCTTAAATATTCTTTAATATGGGTTTATTCTTTCCCGAGAGTAAAGCAGCTGGTCGTGAAGCTGACCACTCATCTCCATCTAGTGCCAAGGTCAAGATTTGTTGAACTATACCTCCACTCCCCCATACAACTTCATAGTGTGGTCTGTAATTAATTAAACACTGACAACTTTACCTTTACCTTGGTTTATTTAATGATATTTTCAAATCCTCAGACTTTATAACATGGAATGGTAGGATGAGGTTGGATAATGCTTTGGAAGGAATTTGAAATGAAGTGAACATGGCCTAAGGTACTATTCCAGTATTCTAGTGGAGGGACTGAGAGAAACCAGGACAACTGGTCTCCAGGCTGGGGTTTGTGAACCCCAGGTATGGAGGAGTGCTAACCATTCAAATGAACATTTAGTGAAAAGGGGATAAATTTGGAGAATTTCATAGTGATCCATATTAGTTGGTATTTTGAGGCTATTTAAGACAAAGATATCCAACAGAAATGTCTTTGTGACTTTGTTACACTTCTCTTGTTATAATTTTCATTCATATGTTCACTAATGAACCAGAGGGATGAATTGTTTACTGAGGTGACAGATTCTTCAGTATTCATCCAGATGTATCAGTCTAAGTTATCTAATTAAAGTAGAAGAATTATTTAAGGTTTTATACACATGGAGTAAGATGTGTTAAACTATTTTGCAGGCGTCTTTAGCGGTCTCCTGTTCTTCATTTTTTATTAAACAGGTTTTATCTTTATCTGCTCAAACAGAAAATTCAGTACTTAAGGTTTAAAGCAAATTCACATTCCTCTGCAGTGCCTATGAATTCGTTCTATCTGCCCATCTGTCCACCCGTTCCCATGAAACTACTTGAGAATGGATAAAGTAATACTGATGTTAGAGAATTTTATGAAAATTGGTAAGCCATGTTGATTTCTATTAAAATCAGACAATTGTAACATTTATTTTATATGAAGAACTACACGTGCATATGTTTGCATCTTGAGCATAACTCTTTAGCACAATTTCGAGAAGTCTTGCAGTTTTCAAGAAAATGAAACTGAAAAAGAAAATGTTCCAGAATTATTATTCCATGTGTACATTTCTGAACTTATAAACTCAGCAGTCAGCAATGAAAACATGCAGAGATTACCATGGTCTTTTTTATGTTCATATTTGTGTAAATTCAACCCTGACGTTTTTGTTATGTAAAACAGGTAAAGACACATTTAAAATGCATTTAACAGGGTTTTTGCTTGGAATCATCAGTTTTACACCACTCATAAGAAAACATAAGAATTGGCTACACAAATTAAAAATTTAGAAACAATGTTGAAACAAATGTCCCATAATTATATGTTGTGTCTACATTTTCTAACTCTTTTGATTTAAATATTTGCTAAATAAATAGTAAGTTCAAATGACACCAAAAATGTGAACTTCTCATGTTCTTTTAATTTTCTGAATATTATGATATTTTTCCAAAATTTTAATGAAGTTATTGCTAGATGTATTTTCTTTCATTTTTCTGTTAATTCTAATTTGATTTTCATAGACAAGCATATAGTTAATACAGATAAGTGAACTTACCTCTATAAGAGAGAAAGCATAAACAAGCTGTGAACAAAACACTAACAATTATGATTCTGTATTGTAGCAAACTGGAGAATGGTGAAAATCAGCCTGCTGGAGTGTTTTACTTCAGTCATGACACGGATATGCAGTTGTTTCTCACCTCTCTTGGTGTGGCAAAAGATTCGGAAACTCTCACTCATTCAAACTACAAATCAATGGAAAACAGACTGTGGAGAACATCCCTCCTTACACCATTTGCAGCCAACTTTGCAGCCGTTTTCTTCAAGTGAGGATTGCAGCTTCTTACATAAATTAAAATGAAATGTTTTGACATCACATCCATAGTGCATATAGTATGCTGTCTCTTCATCGTTTAACTTGGCATATTTACTAATGAATCTCTAAGAAGCAGTTTGTTTTGTAACGAAACTGAAGTCACATATACTCCTAAGCCTTTACTTTATTATGATGGTTGGATTTATTATCCAGAGAAAATGTTATTATGTTGAAATGCTATCCTAGTTTCTCTGATAATGGTATTTCTATGCCTGTCCATTATCTCAATCATGTTCCTATGCAAACAGCTTAATTATCTTCTGCATAATATGTTCTGTGTTAGTAAAGGTAAATGTAAAGCATTCGTATTACTGAATGGATGATGATATTTAAACAATTTTAAATGGCCAGAAGAGAACATAAATCCTAAAAAGTATGATCACAGAGATTCTGTCAGAAGCCAATGATGAGGTTGGTCTAATAATAAATGTCTCAATCTTATCAGCAGAATGTGAAACAGAATTATATGTAGTATAAGGTTACCTAGCAAATAATTTGAGAACATTGCATAGTTCAAGAATGGAAATAACATTTAAAAGTGGTTTTCATGATAAAATTAAGAGCAGATAAAATGTGAGAAATGTTTGATATTATTTACTAAAAAACGTTTTGTCTGCCTGACTCATGTGTAACAGCCTAAGATTAAAATACACAAAACCCTCATTTTACAAGTTTTTTTGCATGGCTTTCAAATTTTGTCTCTTAGTATAAGAGAAAAATATACACTGAAAGTGTCTGAGAAGAAATTACCAATAAAAATTTCTAACTAAGAAAGAGGAATTAAATGAAGAAAGAGAGCTGGGTTGGGTAGGTAGTACACATTGGGATAAGAGTAATGCATACAACATTTCGGTTCGAAGGAGAAAAGACTACTTAGTAAACCAAGGTGTAGAAGAGATAATAATAGTAAAATGTACCTCAGAGGCATTGAATGTGAAGCAGTGGACAGGATTCAGTTGTCCCAGGAGGATATCCAAGGGTCAGCATTTGGGAACATACCTCTGGACCTGTTAGTTCCATATAGGCAAGTAATATTTTGACTGTTGATATAAACAGCTCTGTAAAAGTGTGATTTAAGTATTAAAATATTTCAGCAATGGAAATGAATAGGTATTCGTAGTTTATATTTTACTTGTGTTCCTTACCTTTTTAACCACTTTCCATCTATACTTTGTGTGCTTCTGAGTATATTTGAAGGATTAATATAGTACTGTTTTGCTTCCAGATGTGATGGTGGCCGCTTTGGAGTACAGTTCTATCTCCAAGAACAGTTGCTACGAATTGATGGCTGTGAGTCTGATCTAGGGGATCTATGTGATTGGGCAGCTATTAAGAAGAAATATGGTTCTGTTTCTCAGAACTGTGATCTGAGTTTCTGTTAGAATGATGAAGACAATATCGTTACTGTGATCAGTATATTTTGGGGTGATAAATGTACCAAAGTCAAAACTTGTGAATTTCAGCAAAATGTTTTGTTTAATTCTTAATTTAGAACTGAAGAAGTAATTTTTCAGGTTTGAAAAATTATATCTATTACTTTATTATATTCCAACCAGGGCAGTGGTAACAGTAGCATCTGCTGTACTGTTGTACTTTAAAATTTCATTGAAATGTCTTTTTTTTATGTTGGGAACAAATGGTGCTTGTTTTCCAACTCTGTTATTTATTAACCCTGAGTTAGGGGCCAAATTTTTGGTAAATTTTTCAAATGTAATTGGGTTCTAGTTACCTTCCTGATATCCATCTCTCTGTCTGTTTTTGTAATGACAACTCCACTATGAAAGAAAATATTGCATTTTAAATTTGAAAATTTTAATCTGTACTGATATTTGTGATCTAAAATAAATTTTGATAAGTATTGGACAACATGAGCTGGTCTCTTTTGAGCACTCAAACTTCTTTTGAATACGTACACAACATACAGTATACAATATACAGAATACAGTGTTCTTCTTAGATTCAGAAAGAATTTGCAGCCATTATTAGGATGATTTCTTTGAGCTACATGTTGTTTTTAAGGCTGTCTGTAAAATATTAATATGTTTTTCACTGCAGCACATATACAGAATTCACCTATTTGTAATTCTCTGCATTTTGACAGTATTCTTAAATACAGCATGAAAGGTTCACACTGTGAAATACCAGAGATTTCACTGTGTAAAAGGAGATAGAAGTTTGTCATGCATAGTCATTTGTAATTGACAAGTAGCACTTGAAACTAAGTATTTTGTTGTCCACTGCTTCTATATTTATTGTTTGCAGAGTCAGTATAGTTTAATTACAACAGTAGGCTTTAAGCACCAATATAAAGTAAAAAAAGTAGAGAGAGAGACTGCGTATGTGTACATAGGGTGGCTGACACTTCTAGCAGTTGAAGAGGTTTAACATCCAAGGTGGTGACTATGAACAGTACTATCTTCTGGGATGTGATTTTGTGTAGCACAGTAAAAGTTCATTGATATTTCTCCAAAATGTTTGTTAATTCTACTGGACTACACAGTATCACATCCCACTCTGCCTGCCATATCTGTCCTCACACTCAAGAATGTATTGCCCAGGGGTCACCACGAGGTGGAGGAAACTGGGAATTGCTGGTAAAGCCCTACTTAACAGGTGGTGTGCACCTACTGGCATCAGTGCACCCCCACCAAAGCCATTTGCCAGCCTTGGACCCCCATGCTGTATGTAGATGTTGCTGACAATGGGAGATAGAGAACTTTTCATAGCCATGCTATCTTTCTGTTGGAAGAACTTAACCACCTGAAAATATGTGGTTCTCAGGCAAACCTTCAGCAGCTCCATGATGGCTTCTACCTGCAAGACAGACCATTCTGCCAGTATGTCATCATTATGGAGCTTATTTCTGATACCTGTAGAGTTTCATCAACTGGTATGTTAGTGAAAAGACAACTTCAAAGTGAATGAGGGTATTTGGAGAATGAGAGTTTACAGAAGAAAGCAGTCTTCTGGGATTTGGCACCGTGTATATGTGGTNGTTTACAGACTTCAACAATTGTATGAAGTTGCCTGAATTCTTTGTGATGGGTTCTGATTTTCTGGCAAGAGAATTACCTAGGACATCATAGACACGTTACACACAGAATATAACTAGGCTGAAAATATCAGGCTCCACAATGTTCTACAAAAAAATGTCATTCTGCTAAGTTTATTAAGCATTATACATAAAGGACAGATATAATGAACAGAAGATTAATGGAAATTTGTATTATTGTATTTCAACAAAATCTACAAGTTAATGGGACTCATAGGAAGTTTAATGTACAGCCTCATGCAAACCAGGCTTTGTTATGGATCAAGGTGCCTAAAAGCTGGAAATGTCGGCCAATTTTGATGGAAGCCACTCATACCAAATTTCAATAAAATCTGTAAGACAATTCATGAAATGCCTGGAAAAGTATATTTATGGCCTTATATAAACCAGATTTTTGTTATAAATCAATAAATTTTAAAATTAGGATTACCAAAAAATTTAGTCAAAATCTCTCATGTCAAATTTAAGAAAAAAAAATTGTGAAAGATTAATGGAATAAGGAAAAGGTCAATTTCTTGTCTTATGTAGATCGGGCTTTACTATTGATCAATAGGGTTAAAAATTGGAATTGCCTAACAACTTATAGTGAAAGTCTGCATTCTCAATTGTTAGAAAATTTATTCTTCAGTTTAGGTAATAGTACTAGGTCATAGAGAGAATTTCCACATGCTTTTTTTTTTATTTTGTAAAGAACGCCTGAAAGTGTCCCAAACTAATGTACAGCAATTATCTCAAAGTTGTAAGAATACTATGGATGCCATTACAATCCTGTTGCCAGGAAATGTAGATCTCTTGGTCTGGAAGACACATTCATGCGTACACAAATTAGAAGCCACACATAAAAATCGAAAAATGTGATTGGTAAAAGTGAATAAAAATGTGAAACCATGGACATGTGAAATCTGAAGTTGGTGGGGAATTCCAGTATTAGTTTCAGAAAATATTCAGCACTTTACATATTACTGTCAAAAGTATTAACCAAATTTATATGTCTGTAAAAAAATTAGCAGCAGCAGCAGCACTGTTGGGAGTGATGGTTGTGATGGTGCTAAAATAATTCACTGTGGTAAGGATGTTTAATACAGAGAATAATAATGATTATAATTATGAGGGTGAAGATATGTTCACCATATCTAACTACTTACTGATACTGAGAATGGCAGTGATCATACAGTATTTATACCATAGTAGTAGCTATTATTAAGCATTAATTACCTTCCACAGCTGTGCCCACTGATTATGCTTGCATAACTTTGAAGTGATGTATTGCTCAGAATAGACACCTGAATAATCATCATTGTAGACAAATGACGCCTGTTTCAGCGACTTCTGAATGTAGTACATGCAGGGTAATTATCATTATTTGTGTCTTTCTACGTACATCAAGTCATCTTTTCTAATGACATTACTTAGTAAAAAAAATTGGTATATAAACTGAACAATGAGTTGTTCCTCCACTTTAGGCATATCAGTGAATTTGGTAAGTATGTCTTGTAATATCTCAAACTAGCAGGCACTAACTAGCTGAACCTGCACAATTGCCATATGAGAAAGGAGGCCAGAAATATAGTATAAGATATTTCAAGTGAATGTCTTTGTTCTGAAAGTTAATTCCAGATATTAACAGTAATAAATGAGTGCTTAGTTTAGTAATTACAGATTTGCTTATGTAAGACATCAGCTTTCTGACTGATTTTCCCTGAACTACTGTCCAGGATCATTTTTGTCATTACCTCCAACACTGTGTCCACAATAACCTACCACTGCGCCCCCTCTCTTGAGCCATATGAACCCAGTCTACATCATATCCCTGCTCTTTAATATACATTTTAATATTACCCTCTCATCCATGCCCAAGATGTGACACACGTAGTAAAGAATAGCAGCGGCACGCACACAGAAAGACTACACAGGATAACACCTATACAGTGTGGAAACAAGAACTAGCCGCTGCAGCACTTCAAACACAGGGCGAATAACCCTAACAATTTTAAAATTTTAAAATTTGGACAAGAATTTAAAGGTTTAAAATTAGAACTAAAGATTTTATTATGGTGCTATTACAATAAACTCAAAATTAACGTGTGTGAAGTAATCTACGGGTGGACAGCTATCAACGAAGTAGAAGTTGATAATGACAGGGAGAGTGTTTTAGATGTTAAATTTTGAACTGGGTGCAGTGTGACAGCGACGTGAGTGTTATACACCTGATGATGGCCGTCTGAGGCCGAAACATGTAGTGTAGGGAGCAAGATCAAAGACACAAAATATATTGTTTGCACTTGAGACGGAGTTTATATCATTTATCATATGGAGTGCAACAGGATGCTTAAATATAATATTTTATATATTTATTTAGATGCACGTTGTTTGCATTTATGTTTGTTTGTTATTGTGATATGGCATGTTGGAATTGTAAAGATGTATTGTTGTTTGTAAAGCTTGTGACATGTTTCATATTCAGTGCAGATTGCACTTGTGAATATCCTGAAATGCAGATGTATGTATGTATGTATGTACCATTTTTGAAGGTTCATTACCAGGGAACGTCTTATGTATAAAACACTGCATAGGAATTCTTTGACATTCTTGCCCGTGTGGAGGCGGATTCGGATACCTCCACCGTGACCCGTCAAGTCATAGGAGGCGATGAAAGGGGAAGTCTCAAATCTGAGGCAGTAAAATATGGCCATGAGCCCCAGGGGACTCGGACCCGAGAAAGATTGCGCTGGCAACGACTAGCAGCATATGTAATGACTGACCGTTAGTTGCAATGTGACTTAGACTTGGACTTTGACATTCTAATGAGAGCTGTTAACACGAAAGGACCGACTGTGAAACTACTTGTCCAACATTTTGTGTTGTGTTACATTGAATTGTAGTTACGTCGTTGAGTATTAAAATGACATCGCAAGAATACACCTCGAGGGCTTATTTCACGACATTTTGTGGTCCCGAAACCCGGGATGAAGAATTACGGATTCTTGATGACCGTAAATGAATTCGTGTCCGTCACGAAGCCGCAGATTGTCTCACGACAAATTTAGACGTCAGGACTTCGAGGGAAAGGAGAAAACAAACACGCCCACGGTCGCTTGCTTCAACCTGGCACTGTCGACATTTCCGACATCTAACTTTCGACAGATCCCCATACAGACTATGTTGTTTCTATAGCAACGCACTGAAGCCCGCCTCGTTGCATTACGGAGAGACTTTCGAGAATGAAACGCCTCGTATGCATTACGTAGGAACAACAAATCGAAGCACAATTACCAGCGAAAAATTGATCGAACTCTGGACATCCCTTTCTGCCGCTAAAACACACCGACACCTTGCGCAGAACGGAATACGTTGGAAGTTTATTGTGGCACGTGCGGCATGGTGGGGAGGCTGGTGGGAAATTCTGGTGCCGTACGACTCGAGCACTCCCACACAAGATATCAAAGGAACTTCCGGGGCCGTACGACTCAAGTACTATCGTACACGTTATCAAGGACACTTCCGGTGAAATTGGGATTCAAAGCATCCCACACGAAGTGTCAAGAAGCGTCTGTTCGCACTACGACACAAACTGTCCAGCACAAGTTATGAGGGAAACGTCTGCCGTTACGTCTCTGAACAGCGTCACGTAGAATGTGAGGAAACTTCTGGGGTTAGTGATCCCAGGCATATGTGGAAGAAGACTAGGATTGAAGAACTGTGCCCAGGAAGAGACAACCAGATCCGAACTGTTATCCTTCGACAAAGGGACACAACGAGAATCAGTCGTCCAGTGCAGCTGGTCATTCCTTTCGAGATTGACCAGGGTGGGGAGGATTGTGAGGAATTGAGACATCTTTCCCCTTTAATTGCTTGACTTATGATCCATGACTTGTTAGCTCTACTTCTACCTAGTTGTTGCATGTTATTTGCCGGGCAGTAACGATGTTCCCCAAAAAACTGGATAACCTTCATTGAAAGTTCGTTGCCTGGGAACGTCTTGTTGACTGAAGGTTCGTTGCCTGGGAACATACTGTTGAATGAACGTTCGTTGCCTGGGAAGTCTCGTGTATAAAACACTGTATAGGAATTCTTCGTCATTCTTGTGAGTTGTTAACAATAAGCGACTGACTATGAACGACTTTTTCAACATTTTGTGTTGTGTTACGTTGAAATGTAGTTACGTCATTGCGTAATAAAATGACGTCACAAGAATATGCCTTGAGGCCTTATTTCACGACAGTTCCCACCAAAATCTTGTATGCACTCTGTTTTGCTCCCATGCATGCTACATGTTCTGTCATTTCATACTCTTTGATTTGATCAGTCTAGTAGTATTTAGAAAGGGTTGAAAGTTATTAAACTTGTCATTATGCAGTTTTATCCAGCCTCCTTTGGGGCCATATATTCTCCATAGCACTCCATTCTCAAACACCCTCAGTCTGCAGTTTTTTTAAGATTAACATTAGTAGTTACTACATTGTGAATTTTTTACTGACTTTGCTATTGTACATAATTTTTATACTTATCCATTTCCATCGGTGTTTATTTGATGTTCTTTTAAAATAATTTATACTTTATTGTTATAGACTGATATATCTGGTTATTACCTTGCATAGGAGCCTTCATAGAATGTTGCTCTTCATTCTGTGGACTGCCTTAATGGGCCCTCTGGCCACTGTTCAAGCTAAGGGTTCCTGTTATGCTTATGAGAGAAATCCGTATGTGCTGTTCTCCACATATACTCCCTATGAATTTGTTCATGAGAATTCTGATGATCGAGTGGACATTCCAAGTAAGTACTCTTCTCCACATTGATAAAACAACTTTACGTTTGAAAAACTTGAAAGCTTTTTTTGTGCTTCTAGCATAGCTACTTCTCTCTTAATTTTACCTACACAGGATCTGTGGGAAATGTTTATTACTTAAATATTTTCTTGACATATTCTAAGGCATGATAATGAAATCCATCACCAGTCATAGTGGTCATGTTCCTGAATAACACTGTGATTGTCAAGATGAAGAACTTATGGAACAATAAGTGTTAAGAGATCTGTGGGTTTTCTTAACACTCATCCTACTTTGAATTGTTTGTTCCTTCATTAAACACGAAACTTGTGTGTCTACAAATTTACATGCACCGTAGACATAAAAACATACCACACGTGGATGCACTGCAATGGATATCTGGAAGCTAGGAAAACTGGAAGTGATGTCATTACACCTCTAGTTGCAGCAGATATGGATCTCATGGTTCACAAGTCATTGATATTTTCTGCTGTACACAAAGCACACAAGTTAAGAAAGGTATGCATAGTATAGGGGCACATTTTTTCCATTTTTCTCAGTTATCTTGAAAATTGTAAGACTTAGAAAAAAATACATTTGACATGAAATGCTTATTTCAGGTCTCTCTACANCCTCAATTATGGCACCATCTCTGATGTCCGCACATTACAAATCACTACAGCGCACACTAGGTTTTTTCAGTCTGTTTTCACTAGCCATTTCCCAGTAACGGATCTTAACAATGGAGAGTCTTCAACTGCACCAACCAAGTCTTCTCTTCACAGACTCCCTTACCACTGACTACTAACTCTGTTACAACTTGTCTCGATTATAACATCCTGGCACAGACCACATAGAAAACACTGTTGTTGTACTACAAGCATTTCTGTGGCACGTGTTTGTTTGCGAAAGCGTTACACAATAACAGCTCTGGTATGTGTGCATGTCTCGCAGTCATCTAGTATTGGATGTTTCACTGTTTGTTTCAAGGTTGCTATGGTCTACACACTACAATATTTTATGAACATCTGTTTATCCGTTCTTGAGTTGTTACATGTGAACAAACATACATGGAGTTGCTAATGGGAGCATTTTTACAATACTTTGTTGTGCACTTGGCAGAAACTATGGATATGAACCCAAATATCACAATTGAAAACCAATAGTTGGCAAGGGATATCTGTAGGTGTTATTTCTCTGAATTCCGTAAGAAGATCTAAAATGTGAGGAGCTTCATATCACCTCCTTATTCAGCTTCATCGCTTGATGCACATGGGCTGTTTTATAAGCACTTTAAAAGAGAGCTGTTTGCATTTCTTATAGAATGTCATCCTGTACAATTCTGGATTTTATCTCGCCATGGAACAAGGTACATTAAGGAAGATGGTATTAAAGAGATGTGGTCACTTCGTAGTTTGCGAGATGAGATCATAAGTAATCTTGACAAAAGACGTAAGTACTACTTGAAATTGTTGTACCAAGAGCAGATATAAGCCTACATCCTCAAAAAGTAAAAACCAAAAATTCAGAAGCTGTCACATACATAGGATCTGGATTGAATGTTCAGTACATGGTGATTTATTGTTGCTATGTCTAATAGTGATGTCTCTTTCATTTTCAAAAGAGGACAAACATGTTAACCAAATTTATGTACTTTTCAAATCCCATGAATCTAACCAGATTTATGATTTATATAATTTTGAGAAGAACATGGGACTATTCTTTTTCATTCTTATGCATGTGATACTTGAAGTAATGATTTGCATTTAGGATAAATTAATCAGTTCTACAATCTTATGTGCAATAGTTTATTGAAACTTATTAATAGCTAGTCACTTAAAAGTTTATTATGACATGTTTTGACCAAAAGTGGTCATCATCAGGTCTTAAAAGTTGTGGGTGAGGAAACTTCTGTCTTTCTGCATTGATGCTTATTTGATATATGGTTCTGAGTGTGTATTCTTTCTTGTTTGTAACAGGATGCTACAATATAATATTATTACTCTCAGAGCTACAACTACAAAAAGAATTGTTGTATTTGCTAGTCTTTTAGGTTTTATGCACTTTTTCTTGCATCATTTTTATGAAGTGAATTCCAGCTACTTAAATCAAATACAAAAGTAATTACTATGCTTATGGATCCAAAACCAAATAAATTAAACTAAATGAAAGTCAGCATTGAAATACGTGTTTTATATTTTGGACTTGTGTGACTGTGCAATCTGGATGGTGGATACCAACATTTTAGAAGAACATTCTGCCTCCATCGTCAACTCTGAGAATGAAAATTACATGTTCATCCAAAAGTTGGTACTCACCTGCCAGATTACATTGTATTATAACTAAAAAGACCACACAATGTGAATGTTCACCGTCATGAAAACATCAAATCTTATAGATGTGTTTTGTAGATTCACTTTTGATTGCATTGTAGATGATCATCCAGACCTTCCATACCTAAAACCCATCCCTGTGGTGATAATACAGTTGTTCCTGTTATAGCTCCTTGCAGTTGAATTGCATGATAAGATTCCTTGATGAATTTATTTCAAATTTCACTAAGTAGCTAAGTACATTTTGTTCCTTTCCTCATGACACTTGATGGAAACAGATTAGAAGAACGCTATGTAACAGTGTGAAGGGTGTGAGTTGGACTGATTTCAGTTGGGTCATGCGGTAGAAAGCTGAAGTGACAGGTGTGGCCAAGTGCCCTTGAGATTGGGAAAGGTTGAGTCACTTCTTTATCTTCATCCTAGGCCACGCCATAGCTCAAGCGGTTAGTCGCTGGCTTCGCACTGCGGCGGCCCGGGTTCGATCCCGGGTCCGGCCAAGTGAGATTTGTGGTGGACAAAGTGGGGCTGGGGCAGGTTTTCTCCGTGTACTTCAGTTTCCCCTGCCAATCTTCATTCCACCAATTGCTCCACAATCACCCTTACCTATCATCTGGGGCTGGTACAATAGGCCAGAAGTGGCCACAGTACAAGGGACTTAGTCCCACCCCACTAGCAATAAAAAAAATAATAATCTTCGTCCTCATAATTGTCCTCTGTATCACTATTATACACTGTATATAATTCTCCTATATTGTTTATGTACCATCTGTTTAGCATTTTTCAAACCATTTATTTTCCTTGGCTAGATGATAAAATGTGAAAACACTGTACAGTACCAGCCTGATTAGGGCAGAAATGTGTCATACCATTGCCAAGCAACAAGTGAGGGTCTTGACTGAAGGCAGCCTCTATCCCTGTATTATGATTGGGTGTTGTATATCCATGAGAAGCTGAAGATATATAGGAAACAGAATGGATTATAATTCCAACAAAATCGTTCTTCAATATCTTATAGTCCTCAACTAGTCAAAAAGTCGCTGCATTCTCTGGAACCCAGATTTCATTACTAAGAGTGGACTACAAACGTGAAAATATTGTGTTTATGAAAGATATTTCTAAGGAAAATATTCTGATGAAACTAACTGCAATATACTATATATATATATATATATGCATGTAGTGTTCATTTTAATGTTTGTAGTATTATAGCACATAAGTACTGTGTCAGTATCGTGTATACACATATATTATCTTGAGGCATGTGGTAGTGTAGTTTGTTGAGGAACTATGCTACAAGCCACAAGGTTGCTGATTGGATTCCTGATGAGGTCGTTGAATTTTTCAGTTGACCTAATCCTTCCAGCTGCACTGTGGCCCTGGAGTCAACTCAGCCTCTAACAGAAATAAGTACCACAAATCTTCCTGAGGGTACGGGCAGCCAGCATGCCAGCATGTAAGGCTGACAACCTCATTGCCCTCCACGAGCCAATTGCCTAGAAAATGTGGGAGCCTTGACCTCTTAAACCCTATGGGCCTCCACTGCCTGTTAACAGGGATAGCTTTACCTTTACCTTGTATTAGCATGTCATGGGCATTTAAATACATGTTGAAATTTCTTTGTTGCAAAGCTTCAGAGGGTAGACTATGCACCCAGGATGTGGAAAACCTCAAGAAGTGGACACCACAGGCTGTCTTAACCCTCCCAAATGATTTGACTCCTCAAGGTTATAGAGATGCCTACTATTTGGCACTACGCTACAAGTCCAGATTCCCAACACTACTTAATCGGTCATATAGACCTGACAAATTTCAGGTTAGTACTTTTAAAACAGTCAGGTTTCAAATAATGTAACATGCCCAGCTATGTCTATAGAATGTTACAAATTAAAACCCATTTGTTTTATCGTGATTATTATATTTACTATTATCTTAGCCATTGTTTGATTCTCATGAAGCTTGATAGGGGAAAACTGCCACAACCGTACCCTACTTTTGTGCCTTTGCATTCCTTACCATCAGTTAATGTAATATGATAGTCATTTGAACTTCTGATTTAGCAACATTGGTACTAAAGATTTTCTGATTGGTAATCTAAGAGAAAACTAATGAACAGAACATTCACCCCCTTCAAAGTAGCCTCTCTCTGATTGCACACAGTGATTCCTGTGGGCCTGCCTTTTGTTGAAGCATCTCTTGCCCTCTTATTTAGTGACAATATTCAGTTCCCTCATTTTGGCATTTCCAGAAGTCGAAAACTATAGGCATAAAATCTAATACAGTGGATGTGGAAGCAAAGAAATATTATGCCTGACCAAGAATCCCCTAACTAAGGCAGCATTATAGTGACCTGTGGGGCAAATTTTACTGGATTATAAACCATTGCATGGTCAGGTATATAACATATATAAAGCGGCCTCCATAGTCTAGAGGTAACGTTCCCACCTCATGCCTCGTGGTACGCGGGTTCAAATACCCGGCGGAGGTCATCGAATTTTTAAGGGCGGAAATATTCAGGGAACAAGTCCTCCGAGAGGGACTTTAAGCTGTGTGTCCCGNCTTCACACAGCCAATCACAGTAGAAGACTTCATGTGTACAGAATAGTATGTTAGGAACAAGTCTACATTAAGTTTTAGTGGGTCTGCTCATGTGAATTAGTGTGTGTTGTGGTATAGGAATAAAATGTACAGTATCTTGATATGAGATAAAGTATGATTACTTAAATTGTCATTGTCTGTTGAGAAAAATTTTCATTTCATGGTTATTCGTATTTATCTTGTTTTAAGAAGTACTGGATATGGTAGCTACATAGGGTATTCACAGAAATAATATTGCTAAGAGAATATTTTGGTTCAGGTTCAGTTCACAGATACACAGCGAACTACACTTACTGCCTTTGCATTTATTGATGGAATATTTGGCAGCACTGTTGATATAGAGTTACCTCAGCCTTTGTCTCCTGATCCAGTTCTTAAGGTAAGAATATGAAATATACTGATATTTATAAAAAAAAAAAGACTTCAGCAATAAAGTATACTGGCACATTTATGTAACAGTTACAAATATTGTTTCCTGATATTTATTTTTTAAATTGTAACTCAAACGAGAATTATTATTTTTCAGATCATAGAAGTAGGTATTTTATTGGTCACTGCAACACATTTATAAAGGTGACAATTCTAATTGCTCTCAGCTTAGAAATTAAGTACCTTAACTCTTCAAACTAGTAAAAGTCAAGTAAGTCATAGGACAAAGATGTATTATTCACCATGAATTACCGTATTTACGCATGGATAGGCCGCACATTTTTTGCCAAAAATTCAAGAGGAAAACTGGGGTGCGGCTTATATTCGAAATATTCGAAATCACACTTCATTTAAAAAAAAATATTCATAATTAGTAATACAGGGTGTAATACTCCTGAAATAATATTCCAAGAAAATTATTTTTTCTATAATTTCTGTCTGAAAATTGTGCTGCGGCCTATACACGCACGCGGCCTATACATGCAGAAATACGGTGTACTTTGTCCATATACTATTAGTATGTGAAAATTTTAGAATATACAAAACTATAATTTTGCCTGTGGTTCTGTATGGGTGTGAAACTTGGTCTCTGACAGTTAGGGAGGAACATAGAGTGAGGGTGTTGAGAAGAATATTTGGACCGAAGAGAGATGAAGTGACAGGAGGTTGGAGAAAACTGCATAATGAGGAGCTTCATAATTTGTATTCTTCTCCAAGTATAATTAGAATGATCAAGTAAAGGAGGATGAGGTGGGCAGGTCGTGTAGCACGAATGTGGGAGACGAGGAATGTGTATATGATATTGGTGGGAAAGCCAGAAGGAAAGAGACCACAGGGAAGACCATGGCGTAGGTGGGTTGACAATGTTAGAATGGATCTTAGAGAGACAGGATGGGATGGTATGGATTGGATAGATCAGGCTCAGGATAGGGACCAGTGGAGGGCTCTTGTGAACATGGTAATGAACCTTCGGATTCCATAAAATGCTGGGAAATTCTTGAGTAGCTGCAGAATTGACAGCTCCTCCAGACGGGCTCAGCTCCATGAGTAAGTAAGCAAGCATGTGAGATATATGATTTCGAATTCTGGAAAATTTGCTTAACACAGAAAATCCTCTGTACATATTAGTTAGATATTCTAATTTGTTGTTAAACAATATTCTATTGCTGCAATTATTGAATTATTGTTGCAGCCGTCAGACTATTGTACGGCATGGGATGAAGATGTCAATCATAACCCTGACTCAATGAAGGAGGCTAATGCATTTCTGTATGGCCCAGAGATGCAGTCAGTCTTACAGTCTGTCTCAAGGAGATTAGGAACTAATATTACTAATGGTATGTATGTGTTTTTTGGATCCATGAGAAATGAGAATATCGAGAGGAGGAGAAAACTGCAAACTAGAAATATCATTCCTTTTATTCTTCAAATGTTATTGATATTCTTATTCAGAATGAAGGTACAGATTCATTTGTCTGTTCCAAAACTGTCTCCTAAAGTTGAATTTTGTACATATGTATAACCACCATCTAAATGCAAAACACACATTTTCGTGTTTCATGCATCTTATTACAACACGTTTCAGCTTCATTTGGCCATACTCTCATAATCTGCACAGAAACAGAACAGACCAACTCAGCAAGGAGTTGATATCCACACACCACCACAACAGAACACCCACTCCTGACAACCAGATGCATTATTGCTGAATCAGTAATTTTATGAACTTTTCCAGATTTTTAATATTATAAAATTAAAAATAACAACCCATTCATAAGTTACATACTAAGATGACAGTACAACAGTTTTAGCAAGAGTGTATGCACCTGATGATTACTGAGTGAGGCCAAAACATGTTGTAATAAGATACATATCATCATCATCATCAGTAATCTGTCAGACGACAGGTCCACAGTCTATTCCAAAACAATTCCTCCACTTAATGCGATCTAGAGCTTTCTCCTTCAAATGACAGTATCCTCTTCTGTCCCCAAGGTCATCCAGCATTTTCTTACGTCTTCTTCCTCGTCTTCTTGTCACTTCTATCCGCCCCTCTATCTTTCCTTCAATAACTTCTTTTAGAAGGCTGTTTCTGCATAAAACATGACCAATTCAGTTTTCTTATTTCGTGTAGGATGTTCCTCTGCTCACTTACTCTAATTAACACTTCTTCATGAAAGACATAAATAAGTATTGCATTTAAGACGGTGGTTACACTTATTTACAAAAAAAATAACAATACTAGTGCAGCAGGATGAGGAAGTACAACGTTACTGTCTCCTAAATATTTCATTGATTCATGTGACAGTCTCAGTCCAGCACTCATGGAAACAAAGTTCTGGTTCAGCATCATACTAAGTTGAACGATCCTGACACTTTTAAGTTTTAAAATTAGAAGAAATGAAAAAGTTGAGGTTTCCATAGTGGTGTTTTTTCAAATTGTGATATTCTAGGTTATGAAACTGTGATGCCTTAAAAGTAAATAACGACATTTTGGAAGAGCATGCTGTCTCCATCTTCAAGGTTGAAATGTATAGGGTGAGGAAGAGGTTGGTTACATATACAGTTGCAGAGAAGATGGTCACTCAGACGCACAGGAGGGGGAGAGATCAAGACTTGTCCAGGTCAATAATGAGACGTTCTGGGGAGAGCTAATTGCCTTTCCCTGATACCACAAGGACCGCACAGAAAATGACATGTCGAGCAGTTCTTCTATTCTTGCATGTATTCATTGCCATGAAAACATGTTTACCAAAACATTGCCTAGCAATGACAGAGAGATACACGTATGGACACAGACTGATGGGAAGGACTTATGATGTATGTCACTGAAATAGGCTCAGGTGTCATGACATACATACCAAGTGTCATAAGAACTGGTTAAGGCATTCAGAAGTTGATGATGGAGGGATACACATGCAGAGAGACACACAGCAAAGTGATGTCAGAATAAGGAAAGTACATCAAAAACAGTGAAAAGTAAAATGGTTATTTTCAGGGTTAGAATGTAGGATTTGGCCTTTTAGAGTCTCTGTTGTGGTGAAGAAAAATGGCCGTTCTTATACTCACCATATTTACTGGTCTGAATCAGGCCGCATCTCCCATACCCTTCCTATGGATCTGAGTAACTCCTCCTTGGGGCCGCACCATAGCTCAAGCAGTTAGTCGCTGGCTTCCCACCACAGTGGCCCGAGTTTGATCTTGGGTCTGGTCAAGTGGGATTTGTGGTGGACAAAGTGGCACAGGGACAGGTTTTCTCTGAGTACTTCGGTTTCCCCTGCCAATCTTCATTCCACCAATTGCTCCACAATCACCATCACCTATCATCTGGGGCTGGTACAATAGGTCAGAAGTGGCCGCAGTACAAGGGACTTACTCCCACCGAACTAGCAACAAAAAAAAACTCTTTCTTGCAACATGGCTATGTATCCAAACCGATTTCACGCCCTTGACACTTCAGTCTTGAAGATGGGCATATCATCATCACCTAAATTGTCAGTTTCACATAAGAGACTACATGATGTCAGAACCCAGAAGACCACAAACTGAAATGGTCTTTGTGTTATGTCATGTAAAGCTGTCTTTGTACTTGTGCACTGCACCAAAAATGCATGTGTCTGAGTTGATATAAAGCTTCACATATTTGTAATCTCAGCACAAGGTGGAGGTGAGTGATCAGCTTAATGATCTGGCTATTTTATCCCTTGGAAAATAACCCCATTATCTATTGGAGAGGAGGCACATGAACTCCAGAGCTTATCTGAATTTGATGGTCAAGAGGTAACTCACTTCCCCTGCCAATGTCAATACTGAAGCCTTGTCATCCATCTGGTGATTTGTAATGTTTTAAAATAACTGAACTTCAGTCACACTGTGTCTGATGTTTGAAAAATCCTAATCTAATCTAATATTGAATTCAGTTTAACAGTTCTGAAATTGAAACAAAATAAATTGGACCTAGTAAATCTTATGTTCCAGAAATGGCATTTCTTATAATATGTTAAAATAATTTTTATTTTATGATGTATGCAAGCCTTAATCACACATCATACCAGTAACATGTGAATACAAAACACGTGATGACACAGCATTTTCTTGCCTTTTAGAAAATTTGGATAATATATATACTACTTGTCGATTTGAAAAGGCATGGCATGTGGATAGTGTCTCACCATGGTGTGCTGCGTTTACTAAGGATGAGCTTAAAGTGAGTCTTACCATTCTTACTTTACTAAAATTTTCACATTTAGCAAAATGTCTGCCATTTGATTCTTTTGGGGATAATATTTGCCCAGTTTCCAGTAATCAAACATCCTTGCACATTCAAATATATGTGTATGTTTGCAAAACCTTTAAATATCATAATTACTTTATAAGATGTTAGTTTTGGTCATGGAATTTCTTGTAAAAAGAAACTGATTTTACAGCACCTGTGTGTGTGTGCGTGCGTGCGTCCGTGCGTGCGTGCATGTGTACCCTCAAATGTGATGAAACAGTGTCAGCCATAATAATGCATCATCTTGAAGTATAACAGTGAAATTGTTAATAAATTATTAGGATAACAGGAACACACATGATATATTACATAACATTATTGTCTTTATCTTGTAAGCACTGGAATTATGCTGAGCACTGTTTGAAAATCATTTAATGAATGTCATAGATCTTGGAGTACAAAGAAGACCTGGAATCTTACTATAAACGTGGCTTTGGTAATGAAATGAACAAACATGTTGGCTGTCCTCTAGCAAAAGATCTCCTGGATCGTTTCAGGTATGGGTTTTGCATCATTGTTGTGGTTTTTCTTTGAATATTTCTCATCTTCTGCATTTCATTATTTAAAATTATAAGAATTACAACATTCTGGAAGGTGGCTATGTCTCCATTTTCAGGTATAATATAGAAGAAATGCAGAAGGAGGTAATTGCTCTGTATGGACCATCAAATAAAGCTAGTCTCTCTATACTTCCTTCTTTTTTTCCTTCTGCATTGTGTCAGTACTCAAATAATGCTAATTTAAATATGTTTTTGGTTCAGTTCAAAAGTCATGGTCTGTAGTCAGTAGGAATTAAATGTCTGTTAACTAACAGAAGAAAATTTCAATTGACATTAAGTAATTCCTTTGTCATACTGCTTTGTTGGTGAAATTGTAAACCTTCATACTTAGTAACAGTTTGTTAATTATACATATATGCAATTGTAATATTCACTGCGTAATAATTACATGGAACTTTTTTATGTTGAATTATGTGTATTCTTTTTCTTCTGTTTCATCTACTTTGACATGCTTGTGTTTGTATGTACACTGATTTATTCCACATCCTACATAACCAGGATCCATGGAATGCATACAAATCTATGTTGATCTATCTGCCTAGATGTGTCTTAGACAAAATTTATATAAGTCTGGCACAATGAGTTAGAATTTTAAATACATCTTCATTTAACTTGATATGAATAGCTTGCCATTTTGTAATCCTACCATGTCATTCTTGACTCCTTATCAATATGGTGTCCATGCAAACAAGTGAGGTGGAGGCTATCCACATCATTCAATGATCAGCACCTCAGAGATTTCGGTGTAGGAACCCAAAGTTCTGTGTGTTGATAGACTTCTATAAACTTGCAACTCTTAGTAGAATAATTTCTTTAAAAAAAATGGAAAAATCATAAAATGCATCATGTCAGCTCTGATTTTAGTACTAGCTGACTGAAAAGCTGTAAAAGAAGAATAAGTGAAGTGAAATATCTATGCTTTCATTTCTTCAGTAAGGTTATTTCTGAAAATTCAATAATCGAGCAGTATAAATTCACAAATCATCTGTTGATATAAATGTGTCTCCATTATAAATTAGTTTCTAACTAATTTGTTTTCAGAACATTTAATGTCCTCCCAGACATTTGGGCATGAAGATGAGGCTATGCTGAAGACTGAACCCATAAACAGTCTGCCCCTCAAAATATACTTTGAATAACAGCTGTGATGAACTTTGTTGTAGCAAACTGGAGAATGGTGAAACTCAGCCTTCTGGAGTGTTTTACTTCAGTCATGACACAGATATTCAGCTGTTTTTCACCTCTCTTGGAGTTGGAAAAGATAGAATAAATATCACTCACTCCAACTATGCAACTATGGCACGTCGAAACTGGAGAACATCCCTGCTTACACCTTTTGCAAGCAACTTTGCAGCCATTTTTTTCAAGTAAGCATTGGAGTATCTTATGTTGGTGAAGAATAAATTGTGTAACTGTTAGATCATGATTTTCTAGGTTGTGACACAATATAATTTTATGAGTTGTTACTGACTTTTCAGACTCTTCTACCTAGAAGATGGTGGCAGCAGTTTTATAAATTATCACTGCTGTGAAGACCTGAAATCTGAAACCCCATAACTCTTTCTGTATAATACAAATATTAAACCACACTCCATGCATTTTTGTCGTATTCTAACAAATGGGTTAGCTTAAGCAGTAATGATTCCAGATTATAATCGTATGTGGGACATGTCCAGTTCAGATCTTGCATGGAGCATCAACTACTCTGCTGAGGTTTTCATACTTTTCCTCCAGATGTATGAGAGGTAAATGCATGATGGTGCCCTGGTTTAGGCAACTGCTTCTTTCCACTTCTTATTTTCCTACTGAGTCATTGCTCTGCAGAAGAGTGTTTTCAAAAACTACAGTCATAAACTACTACATACTGCATAAGAAGCTTTCATTTGATTATGGTATTAGGGACTATTAACCAAAGCAGACTCTATGACAAAGAAACCCTATTATAGTGTCTCATTTGCTATGGGCTTTGGTGGGGGGTGTATTGTTGTATTTCATGTGTGAAGATTTTTATCTCAGAAAATTTTAAATTTCTGAGTCCTGAGCCAGAATAGAATAGTCAGTATAGTGACTGTCTATGGGCTGGACGACCAAGGGGTTGGAGTTTGAGTCCTGGTAGGGCCAAAAATGTTGTTCTCCACGTTGCCCAGACCGGTTCTGGAGCCCACCCAGCATCCTATCCAATTGATACCAGGGGCTCTTTCCCAGGAGGTAAAGCAGCAGAGGCATGAAGCTGACCACTCACCTCCAGCTAGTACCATTATCAAGAAATGTGGATCTGTACATCCACTCCCCCATACATCTTCATGGCATAGTGTTTAATTAGTTAAGCACAGGGCCAACTTTACTTTACTTTATGCCATATTTTCTTTCATAGTATTTCATGTTCTCATTAAAGTAGTATTGGGAGCAACAGCCTTGGCTGCATTTTTACTGCATACAAGTTGCCACAGCTGTTTGTATGGAAAATATTTTTTTTTCAACTGGCAATGGATGTTCAATTCAGACCTATTTATTAATGAATATTTGAAGATGTTCCAATACAAATATTTTTAATGAATGAAACAGATGACTGGAAATAAATGTTTTTGTGAAGTCACTGTAGGAGAGTTATGGGTCTTACTATAAAAAAAGGTTCTGATCCATACAGTTAAACAATTTTGCATTTGAAGAATTCTGTCTTCTGGGATGTAACACTGTGTAGTCTGCTAAAAGCCAACTGACGTTTTGGAAGAACATATTGCCTCTATCTTCAGGGTCTAAGAATAAGCTGAGCAAGAAACCAGAGTGAATTATGTAGCACCTGAATGGAGGAAACATATTTCTCTAAAATATCTGACTTTAAACACACTACATAGCATTACATCCTGGAGAATAAAACTCTTCAAAACCACTGAGGTGAGAGTTTAAAATCCTACAATTTTATGTTTCCTTTATGCTGACCTTCAACTGAAAGAATTAACATTATACAGGATAGTTTCAGTTTCTTCTCAGAATACTGACTGATTGAAATATCATGTGTATACAGGGTGTCCCAGGAGGAATGTGCCAAACTTCGGGAGGGTGTTCCTTATGTTAAAGTATGCCGATATAACCCAAAACACCTATGTCCAAAGTTGAACGGTTACGGAGATAATGGCCAGAGAAGTGTCAAACTTTGACCGGGGTTACACACTTGTTGATTACAAAATACATATTAAAACTGGCAGGAATATGTGGATTCTGTAATGTTAATAATGTACGTAACATCAAACTAACTTGTGAGTGACGGAAAGCCATAAAAGTGAAGTACAAAATACTCGCTCGCCATGTCATAATTGTCCTTAGGTTTCCAAGCAGTATACATAACACATGACTGGCGAGCGATGACGTAACGTGCTGACTGCGCGTTCTGGTATGAGCCAACTACATAAGCACGGCTAGGGAGTATCATCGCACTCAAGGACAAACATAGATAAGGGCTCTCAGCTGAGAGGTACAGCGAGGTACAGTGCTTGGACCTGCCAGAAGACCACACTTTTCTTGGGCCATTATCTCCGTAACCGTTCAACTTTGGACATAGGTGTTTTGGGTTATATCGGCATACTTTAACATAAGGAACACCCTCCCGAAGTTTGGCACATTCCTCCTGGGACACCCTGTATACATATACACACACATATATATATCCAAGTTTTTTCTGACAGGTAAAGAAAATGTTATTTGCTTACAGATGTGACAGAGGTGAACCATTTAGAGTTCAATTCCGCCTCCAGGAAAAGTTATTAAGACTTAAAGGATGTCCACATAATAGATGGGGTCTGTGTGACTGGTCTGTTATTAAGAAGAAGTATGGCTACATTTCTGATACGTGTGACCTTAGTTTCTGTTTTAAGGAAATGACAGAATGATTCCAGATGTTCATTGCATCACACCTGAATCTGGTGAGTTGAGTGAAATCTTCTACTTCATTACTATTTGAATCCTATGTACCAAATAAAACAGACCTCATTAATAAAGGCTGTTCTCAGAATGAAAATATTATTGTTGCTTTTTTTTTCTAATCCTTTCTTCAAACAGCAAATTATCATATTTCTTAAAGCTCATGACTTTGTATTTCATCAGTAAACTGTATTTAATATCTTTACCTTTCTTGTTCTTGGAGCGAGCTGCATCTGCTTCCCTAGACACCTATAACAAGCTTACCTTGGTAATAAGATGTGATGTTCTTTTGAAAGTAGGAACAAAATCTGAATGACAGTCTGTTTCCTTTGACGTGTCTGTCTGCTGTTTCTCTCTCTGCATGAAATAACTCCATTTTGGACTAATATATTTAAAGAAATGTATCACGGGTCCTTACTGAAATTTGTCATTAAAATATGTTTTGCATAAAACTGAATAGAATATACAGTACTTCAACTTTACATAAAGGCTTAAACACATTTTTATATATATACATAGGTAAATCAATAAGTAAGTTACAAATGGATATAGAACTTAAACAAATAAGATCACTGATTTGAAAAATGCTTTCATTTCTCAACATAACCTCCTGTACACTGAGGCATTTGTCCCATCGTTTCACAAGCCCCTGAAAACCAGCAGCATAAAATTCTTTGGGCTGCTGTCGGAACCAGGTGGTAACTTCCCTTTCTACACCTTTCTACAGCATCACTTTCCTGGAGAATGGTGTAACCTTAAACTTTTTTTAGCAGGCGACGCAGGATGTTTCCACTGCATTGACACATGCTTTGTCTCGATCTGGTAATGATGAACCCAAGACTCATCACCTGCAACAATTTGGGCTAGCATATCATGTCCTTCATCATGGTAGCGATTGAGATGCTGTAATGCCAGACCCATTCTTTGAATTTTGTGTTGTGGGGTCAGCATGCGTGGCACCCATCATGCACAGACTTTGTGAATGCCATGTGAACACGCCTGGTTCCGACAGCAGCCCAAAGAATTTTATGCTGCTGGTTTTCAGGGGCTTGTGAAACAATGGGACAAATGCCTCAGTGTACAGGAGGTTATGTTGAGAAATGAAAGCATTTTTCAAATCAGTGATCTTATTTGTTTAAGTTCTATATCCATTTGTAACTTACTTATTGATTTACCCTCATACTTGTAATATTAAAAAATTATGTATACATGTGCAAAGCACAGACAACTTGAAATCTGTTGATACAGAGAGTATCCTATATTTCATTTTCAGTAATTTCAGTGGCATGTTTTAAATTTGAAAACCTTATATACACATATTGTGATGTTTTGAACATGTTACATTGACACCAGGTGTCATATGTTTTTTTTTTTAAATTCGCTTAGTGGGGAGTGGTGTCCAACTGGGTCCACTCAGCACAGCGGCCACTGACTGGCCTATTGTAGCCTGGCCCAGGTGATTATGATGATGGAGAATTTGGTGGAATGAAGATTGGCAGGGGAAACCGAAGTACTCGGAGAAAACCCACCCAGCGCCACTTTGTCCACCACAAATCCCACTTGACCAGACGGGGATTGAACCTGGGCCATCGCGGTGGGAACCCAGCAACTAACCACTTGAGCTATGGCGTGGCCTGCTAGGTGTCATATGTTAGTGACGAGACAAAAGGTTTGTATTAGCTGTTGAATTTGTTTGATGCTTGTTACAGCAATAAAATAGTTACAGCACTTTCACAGTTTTTACACTCTACAGATTACAACACATTCCAAGTCTTCCCATTCTGCTATGTCCTGACACACTTGTTGCTTGGTTGTGGCTTCTAACAATGGAGATCCTTTGTGCTCCTTGTTTTACATATTCAAGTGAACATGAATTGTTGTCAGGAATGATAATTATGTTGTTTTAAGGAACTGAAAATAGCTTACTTAAAAAGGAAGTGCTTTGGAACTAAGTAGATGACATTTACCCATACGTATGTCCATTTCCAGGCCAGGTAATGACCTTTTATCTCCAGTCTATAAACTGTGACATTAATCAGTAATTTCCCTTTAATTGTTCCAGGTTAGTCGAAACAGCTTTTATATCAGCACTATCACAGTTATGCTCAAAGTATTTTAACTCTTTGCCATATCTAATATAAAATGTGTGGTGTAGGATATGTGACTTAAATCCTTCTTACTTTAATGCCAATCTGACCTTCATGTGAGTCGTGTTTCCTTAGTAATCATGTTCTGATGATCTGATGATTAAGTCATGGTCATCTAAGATAAAGTAATATTGATCAGATCTCTCTTTGTAATTGAATTTGTTTCCTAACTACTGTTCTCCCCATTATTCTGAAAATCTGGGAAGATCTGAGCCCTCAAATAACAAAGAAGAGGAAAGAGGCAGTAGATTCAACATTAGTATCATCTGCCTTATAGTTCATGAAAGGATGCTTTCCTTTAATAGATAATTATGTAGTATTCTGTCTCCTTCTGCTACAAATCTACATAAATTTGAATGTTTTAACACTGTATTTTAATATAGTTGTTGTTGTTGTTGTTGTTATTGGAGAGGGTGGGTTTCCCCATGCACTTAGACCAGTATTGGTCCATTGTGTGTCCCCCTGTGATATTCTACCAGTCTCTATACCCTACTGGTACTGGTGCGTACCATCAGTCCCGACTCAGCCAGAGAGTTCGGCCTCTACTGGCTCAGCGGTATCTCGATGCTTCCCCCATCTACCAGAGGCGTTAGAGACTATTGTTGGGTGGGAGATGTCCTGAATTTGGCTCAGAGGTCCCCTTGAGACACGAGGTTCTTTTACGTGCCGTAAAGCTACGACATAGGACCCACGGCTTAAAGTCCCTCCCAGAGGACTTGTTCCATGAATTTTTCCGCCCTTAAATATTCCACGACCTCCACCGGGTTTGAACCCGCGTACCTTGAGTCACGAGGTGGGAACGTTACCCCTAGACTACGGAGGCCGCTTTTTAATATAGTTAGTATAGGAGATGTGAAAAGTTATATTAATTCAAGTTATATTGTAGTTACTTTTAAATTATGTCTGTTAATCAAGATATTATCTTTTTACCTCATATTATAGTATATGTTAATTAATTCGTTATGTAACTTATGTGACTTTGTGTATGTATTTGATATGACTTTTTCCACATCCTGGGTCTGTTACCTGTATGGATATTTATAGAAAATAAAGGATATGTATGTATGTATAGTTGTAGAACATCATGTGAACTCCCAGATGAACATAGAAAGGATTAAGAGACACTGGCTGAGGAACTGGGCCATCAGAAGTGTGGACAGTCATCTTTACACCCAAACATATGTCAGCTGACACATATTCCAATATTAAATGACAGTGTGGTCTACCCCCACCCCTTCCCTAGCACAAACTTCCTACATTTGAAACACTAATATCTCTGCTTAGGAACAAGCAGACTAGAATTCAAAACAGAAAATAATGGCTTTATTTACATACAAAATTGTTGATTTATACAGTTTTTTACATTGATTATGCTTTTCATAATTCACTACACTACACTTGCGCTAAATTATAAATGGAAAAAAAAAAATTAGTGAGGTGATCAGTATAAAATTAATGGACGAGACTGAAGCTCTGAGCATACAGACACGAAGATTTATTCTGTACCTTACTAAAGACAAACATTGCGTTACAGGGAGAACTGTTTCAGATATGCAGTGTGTTGTCAGTTTTATTCTTTTGAGTAATTCTAATATCAAAACCTACAAAAGTTAAGAAGGTATTTATGAGATTTGAAGATAAAATAAATATTATACTTTCAGGAAAGAAACAGTGTATGGATGTTTGAATGTTGTGAAGGTAACAGATGTCAAGTGATACACAAGAAAAATATTTTTTCAGTAAGCATTAATTCTATGATTTTTGGTTAGATAATTATTCTACTATTACATGATATACAGCAGTAAAAATTAACATTAATCAATGCTGTCACATTTTGAAATAAAAATACTGTATGGGTAACTGAAACATCAAAGGTCAGAAGTCTTATATAATTCTGTCTCTTATTTGTGGTTGCTTTCTCATAACCTTTTTTCTCTTTTTTCCACATGACAGGATTATGAAGGTTTACAATTATGAGATAAAGCTTCTGACTATACAGTAGGTAAAAGGGTAAAGTTGTACTGATGTTTAATTAAGCACCATAGCATGGAGATGTATGGGGGAGTGGAGTACAGCCCTACACATTCTTAACCTCTGCACTAGAAAGAGGTGAGTGGTCAACTTCACGCCCCGATCTCTTTAATTCCAGGGAAAGAGCACCCAGTACCCACTAAATAGGGGGCTGGGTGAGCCCTAGAGCTAGTCTGAGAGAAAAAACTTCTGCCTCTGCTAAAAATTTATTCCAAAGTCCTCAGATGTCCAGCCCATAGCCTAGTCTCTACACCAACTGAGCTACAGTAGGACATACAAATAGAAATTACTGTATTAATAATACTGCTAACCAATAACATTACATACTTTTATCTTATAAAACTTCAGCTTCATAAGTGACTGGTTTCTGCACATCAATTCTACATTGTGCTGAGTAATTATCTTACCTTCAGTAGCACATCTTATATGCATTGACATACTTCAAACAAACACAGATGCAGTTTTTGGAGCATTTTCATGCTAATGAAGATGAGCTTGCAGTCTCCACAACAATAAGGAATTTCTTGAATACATTGATAACTAACTAGTAACTAGTTATGTCTGCACCGATTATTTAATTCTTCAGTAACATCAATCCTTTGTGATATTACACATTGTATCCTGTCTCTTGTACTATTTGTACAATTCTATATTAAAAGAGATGGCTCAGTATGACAACTGGTGCCATCAGAAAGTGGATAGTCACTTGTTAGAATTATGATACAAGGTCTATTATGCACAGAGTTTCTCTGTAGTTTTACATTCAAACTTAAAAAAGTTTGTGGCAATAATAATACATGGACGGATATCCCATTAAATTTTACAGTCACAAAAATATATTACACAAATTTAGGTATAAACACAGAAAAACACTGCACAAAATTGAACGCCCTGAGTCCAGGTTTCATTACATGCTCAGTCTGTGAACTTTGTATTCACAAATCTGAATATTCTTGGATAATATCTGGAAATAGTATTGATTAATTATGATAGTTATTAACATAGTCATATTCTTTGAACACCACTGAAACAGAAAATGGGAACCTAGAGAAACTATTATTGATGTGTTAAGTTCTACTATATTATGCATGGTGTCACCAAGTGTCATAGTTTTATATTTACCAAGACCTACATTTTCATGATGTGTTTCTTATTCATAACATCCATTTTCTATAAACACACCATAATTTCATTTTTATGAAAATGTTCACAGACACAAAGAGACAAAACCACTGGTTTTGTGGATTTTAAAAGTAATGTTAAAAAAATGTGTTTCATTGAAGACTTTTCAGTACACTGTACTTTCCCACATGAAACAGGTTTACTCTTATCACACTCTAGCCTGGTGCTTGAAGCAACAGGAAAAATTATATGTCTCTCCAGGTGGCATTACTGAAAGAGGTACAAAGGAGAATAAGGACCCAAATTTTATATGAAGGTTTGCTTGAAGAATATGACAGCTACAACAGCAGCAGTTGTAAGCGATGAGAGGGCAAGGTTTTGTTGAGTTCCACTGTGATGCTTATGACAGAAATCCAGGTTACAGTCATGGGCAATGTTAGCAAATTTATCCCTGATGTATGACCAACTGCACAACCCCACATTACAGCCCTCATAAGGAACAATATGTTCCCCAAGGTAGAATATTATACGGTGCTCCTCCCCTTCATCACATCTGAAATAAAATTGCGAACATTATATTTGTTTCTTCAGTATTCCACAGTATCAGGTTATTACAACGAATGGAACAGAGGATTTTCCATACAATAGAGGATGCTGATGAATTACATTTTAAAAATTTGTATTATGAAAATGAATCAAGCCATATGAGTGCAGTTTCCATCATGGGTGTGCCCATGCGCCAGAAGGAGTGACAATGGAGAGAGCACAGGGACTAGTTAACAGTTGCTCCAAGAATGGCAGCCAGTCGATAGAAGACTTCCTCTCTCTGTTCATGTGCATGTTCATAGTCAGTAATAGAAAAACAACTACAAGGATTCAAATGGTGGCTGCACCATAACTCAAGCAGTTAGGTGACCCGGGTTGGAGCCTGGGTCTGGTTATGTGGGATTTGTGGTGGACAAATTGGCATTGGAGCATGTTCATTCCACCAATTGCTCCGCAGTCACCATTAATATTGTCTGGAGCTGGTACAATAGACCGGTAGTAGCTGCAGTACCAGGTGGGCTCAGAGTCACCCCACTAAGAATAATAATAAAAAAATAAGTGTTCAAATGACATTCCGGACATCCTATGGTGAAACCCCTAAAAGGTAAAGTTGTCCCTGTGCTCAATGAATGTAAGCACTACACCATGAAGGCATATGGGAGAGTGGATGTATAGATTCACATTCTCTTGACCTTGGCATTAGCTGGAGGTGAGTGGTCAGCTTCATGACCCAGCCGCTTTATCACCAGGGAAAGAGTCCCTGGTACTCCTTTTCAAAAAGCATTTTGTGACGAGTGGAACAGTGACCTTCACAGGGTCACTCAGTTTAGGTGCATGCACACTTGGCATGAAAGAGGATAAAAAAAACTTTCAGTTTCTTTCATATGATGAAAACTGCACTCCTGTAGCTTTACTGATTTTCATAATAATTTTTTAAAATGTGATTCCTTCCTCAGACATCCTGTATTTATATGTATGTGCATGGCTGTATTTGGGAGAAAGGAAATGTAGGAGAGTTCACTAAAAATCAGTGCACAAAGACTTAATTTAAAACTAATTCTGCATTCAACTAACTTTATTTGTTAACTTTTGTAGGGTTTTTAAGTTTTACAATATAGTTTTTAATACACATCTTATACTTACATTAGTGTTATTCTTCTAGGAAAGATGAAAGGTGAAACATTGTAACTTAATGTGAAATCTGTGGTCTATACACTAACATAAATTTTATGTTAAACGGTTTTAATTTTACTGACCAGTAAAAAATTATAGAATGCTACAAATATAGTACAGTTTTAACTTAAAATATGCCATCTAAATCATGCTTCACAGAACATAAAATCTTAACTTTATTAAATAAATTACAGAGGTGTTCAAAATTCCTTTTAGATGTGTAGTATAAATTTTTCCAGATTTCTGAAACATATCTCAATGAGAACTACTTTTAGTATTTTTCTTCCTTTCCCCCCCCCCTCCAGAAATCAATATAAAGAGGCTTACAGGACCCTGCACTAATTTGGCAGAAACACAAGTTATTAAGAAATAGTGGTTTTATTCAGTGGAAGCATTTATGGTTTCTGGTGATTACTTGTTGGTGTCACTTACCTGAACAATACAGCTGCTAAATTGGAGGCAAAAGGCCCAATCTTGGATGTTCTCCATTTTCGATTTTTCATGGTGTTGTAGTTAGTGTGAGTCAGATGGTCCTGATCCTTAGCAATGCCAAGTTGAGCCAGAGTCATATGTAATGCTGCTGAATGGGTAAAATAAAAGATTCCAGCAGGCTGAATCCTGTCTTGATGGTTATGATTCTCCATTCGACTGTAAAAAGATGATTTCACGTTACCATCACCTTCTTGTCATGGCTTCATATGCACTCACCAAATCACTATGGACAAGTCAACAGAATGAAGCAACTACATTTTAGCCCTTATCTAACTGTATAGATGTGTGTGATTTACTGCATGTTCAGACAATTTAAGCAGTACAGTAAACCCTCATTATAACAGACCCAGATATAAGGAACAAAATGTGGCTGTGTACCATATGTTGAGGCACTAAGATGGTTTTGTGGTTAGAAAAGTATTTAAAATAAAAAATATCCCCAATATAAAAACCTGTAATCACATTGTATGCGTCCATGTTTATTGCATGTATTGGCCATGTATGGTGTACTTCTGTGAATAACCCTTCACTTTGTTATAGCAGCAGTATGTATTTGACAGCAGTAATATTGATTCTAAATTTAATTGCTTTCTNTGGCAAAAATGGACAACCTGTCCACCTTGTTAGTCTGTTATAATGAGGGTTTACTGTATTCTGTGAGGTCCTGCTCTATGTTGTCATTAATTCTACTTGGGGTTCACATCATTTCATTTCATCAGTAATCTGTCATATGACAGGCCACTCAAAATGAGAAGAGGCTGTCCCAATGAACATTTTATAATTCAGTTGACCACAGCCTAAAGGCCACAGGCTAAAGGTCAAAATTGAACAACATATAACACAAAAGTTCATTTTGCTTGCATATATATAGTCATTATATTGAAAGTATGAGAAAACATTTGATAACATAAAATATTCATCTCATTAGCAGCTACAAATTTGTATAAAATATTTTTTTCAATATATGCAATATTTAATTAAACATACCTAAAACTGTATCTACATGTAGTATATATATATTGTTGGATCCTAATCTCAAACAGATAAGTTTTCATAAGAATTATAAAGTTCACCATAATAGAGTACTTACAGTCATGCTGAAGATAACAGATGCAATCACATTTCTGTGAAATGCACCCAAAAGAATGCTAAAATGAAATGCTTGTCTATATAGACCGAGTTCAACATCATGAAACTTAAGCTGTCACCTGAAGCGATTGATGAGGTCCTTCACAGTGGGACATCCTAGTTTCACATTGATTTCATTACCATATCCAGAACGGTAATAGTATTCAAGATCCTCCCTATACTCCATAAGCTGCAACATTTATTTGAATAATTAAAATATTTTAAGAGACTCAATACAAGTTTTCAAAATGTTTAAAATGGTTAAATACACAAAAGCCACTGTTACAAAATTAGACTTTCTACTTTTAACTTATGCCTTATTACAGGCCAAGTAGGGTAACTTAAGTAAAAGGTAAAATTTTCTACCAAATCAGTTGAAAATAGCCAGAAAACCAAGTTGCTTTCTTTTATTCATTTCAGAGTCTTATGGCTCCAAAAATTTACATTCAGTATTTATGAACCTCTATCATGACTGCAACAACAAATGCATGTCATGCAAAATGAATAAACCAAATGTATGTTGGAGAGTCAGTAAATAGGTAACAAATGGATATAAAAAGTAAAACATGCGATATTCAAACCTGGGAAAAACATTATTTCTCAACATATCCTCCACCAACACTGATACACTTGTCCCATTACTCTACCAGGACATCGAAATCCACAGAATTTAAGCCTTATGACTGTTATCTCAGTCACTTCCACAACCCATTTCAACCTCATCATCATCAGTGAAATGTCTGGCACGTTTCTCAACCCAGTTGTGAACCGCTTTACATAACAGACTCTTCCCATCGTAGACAAGAAACATTTCTTTATTAATATCCTGAGTCCTTTTGGCCACAGAAAAACGCAAAACAGAATACTGCTGTTTGGTAGTCCATTCCTCAAACACATTCGCCATTTTGACTACTGAAACTAACCTCTGAACATGCACATGTGTATCTGCTACCTACAGCCCATCACAAGGCTGCTACCTACACAAACAGAATAAATTCAGACAAATGTTTTGAGTGGGATGCGAACCCATGTTCAAGAGAGGGAAGACAGTTCATGCTTTAGACCTCACAGCCACTGTGACTGGCCTGATGAAATACTAGCAACCATAAAATCCGGTTTTTGTCTGTCACATAAAGTTTGGTTCCAATGACTCATGCTTTTTTCAGAATGATTTAGTTAATAAAGGAATCGAGTCAATTTTTTCTCAATGTTTCAAGTGTTTCTGGCTTGGCTACCTATCAAGTACTTGTGCTGAAATTATGTTACAGTTTTTTCACAGTCAGCAGTATTTTATATACACTATGCTTATGGGAAGATAAACGTTTTGGGGGATGGTAACACTTACTTGAAGTTCTTCTTTAGAGAAGACAGCACACCATGGTGATACATTCCTTATATTCCATGCCTTGTCAAAGCGGCACATATCATACATCTCATCCAGTTGTACTAAAAGACAGAGTTTCATTCTTAACAATGGGTATGTAGAGTCAGTACAAGACCTGGAATTTCTTTCTTTTATTTCTGATAAACAAGATTTTCACAAACTGCCATATATATTTGTTGGATTTGAGGCTCTCACAGCAGTGGAAATGTGTCTTAGAGGGTATAAGGCTTTGTCACCCAGTAGATGTTCATGGAAGTTTCAGGGGAACATACCACCTCCATCATCAGGGTTGAACAATAAGCCAAGCAAGCAATACGAAGCAAGCAATATGGGAAGGAGGAAGCAAGTTGCTTGCTATTTCACTTAATCTTCGGTCCTGAAGATGGAGGTAGTACGTTTCTCTCAAATGTCAGTGAACTTCTACCAAACTACGAGGGTAAATCGAAAAGTCTTTGCCCCTATTTCTTTTTCAGACACAATAATACACCTACCGGGAAGTCAAAATACAGGCAGTGTTCTAAGTACCTTTCACTATTTTTCCACATAGTCACCACACCGGTTCAGGCATTTGTCCCATCGCACCACTAGTTTTGAGATGCCACTGTTGTAGAATTCGGCTGGTTGAGCGCGGAACCACCACTGGACAGCGGTTTTTGCGTTGTCGTCGGAAATGAACCTCTGGCCTGCCAGGAACTTCTTCAGTGGACCGAACAAGTGGTAATCACTGGGGGCAAGGTCTGGACTATACAGTGCATGCTCCATAATGACAAGTCGGGCGGCGGTCCTGTTTGCCACATGAGGCCTGGCATTGTCATGGAGGAGAACCACATAGTCCACAAGAATAACCGGGCGCGACTGCAGTCATTCAGATGGGAGATTATGGAGCATGCACCGTATAGTCCAGACCTCGCCCCCAGTGATTACCACGCGTTCAGTCCACTGAAGAAGTTCCTGGCAGGCCAGAGGTTCATTTCCAATGATGATGCGAAAACCGCTGTCTGGTGGTGGTTCTGTGCTCAACCGGCCGAATTCTACAACAGCAGCATCCCCAAACTAGTGGTGTGATGGGACAAATGCCTGAACCAGGGTGGTGACTATGTGGAAAAATAGTCAAAGGTACTTAGAACACTGCCTGTATTTTGATTTCCCTGTATGTATATCATTGTGGCTGAAAAAAATAGGGCCAAAGACTTTTCGATTTGCCTTTGTACATGGCCTCATATCCCAGATGGCATTCTTCACCATGTTACATCCACTGTTAATTAAGATTAATATTCATACAGTGGACCATGTCATAGCTCAGGTGGTTAGTTGCTGGCTTCTCACAGTGGAGACTACTACTGGACACACATGATCTCTCTTTCACACACACACACTTTTTCTTTCAGTTATTTCATGAGCAAAAATCGTATGATTCTGTTGACTCTAGGACTGAACACATGTTTGGGACAGTGCCTTCTGGTGCTCTACTGTACTGCAGTTGCACATGTGTGAGTGTAAACAGTAGAACTGACCAAGCTGCTATGCATGTAAAACATACCAAAGGTGAGCCTGTAGCCAAATCCCAGTCTCTCTGACACATTCTGTAAGAGTGCTTGCATCTGGGGTCCCAACTGGAACATATGCTTCTCTTCCAATGTGCGGTTGTTATTTCCCACTTCATCACGCCATCTTGGACAGTTGTCATAAGCCTACAAAGGAGGCAAATTAGATATGGTGCTTATTATTCAGGAGCAGTGGCTTATTTCTTATAAAGAGACGGACAACTCAAAAGTCCAGAGCTTTTCTTGAAAAGCTTCCAGTCACTCAGCTAGCAAAGAAATTCCCTGCCCTTTATGACACCTGAATGTTTATTATTGGGTTCACAAGATCCTGCCATTGGACCCTATCCAAAGCCAGATGAATCCATTCACACCCTCACACTAATTCTTTAAGATCCATTTTAATATTACCCTCTCAAGTGGTCTCTTCTTAAGGGTTTTCCACTGAGTGTGTTGGTTTCCTGAATAGTATCCATTAAACTTGTTCTTTCCTTCCTTTTATTTCTAAACATTACTCTGTGACAGTCGCCAGTGGAACTATTAAGTAAATCTGGATAATGTTACATTGAGATGGTTTAACACAGTTTTTAGTTGCCTAAATGTTACATAAGAATTTGAATGAAAGTAAACTTGAAATTTTTATAATGAGCATTGGAAGTTCTAAATTTAGTTATTTGAAACTGTTGCTGTTGAACTGCATGGCACAGAGTGTCCAGAGCCAGACACTAACTTTCCTCCAAGGGAGTCAATTAAGGCTGCTTTAGAACTCCATGATTTGGCTTTGCTTGTGTTCAAAATTGGTTAAACCAACAACCTTATTTTGACCTATATGGACTGTAAAACCACACATGAACATTACATTAAACTAAGAGAACTTTCATTGCACATCATTCTGTTAATGCCATGAATTACCAAAGACACAAAAAAATCCTTTAACTGACACAAGGCTCTGTGACTAATAGAAGAGTTAATTCCTGCAAGAGCATTCATTAGTACAGCAGACTCATCTTACCAACAAAACAAATAGTTACTGGCTTTATCAATGTCTGTTATAAGACATTATAAATTAATCAAAGTGAAACTGAATGACAAATTAATACCTTGCAAGGAGAAGGAAAAACTGGTTATAGCTTTCTATCCAGTATTTTTGGGTGAGGTGGCAGAAAAATAATCTAAGAAAGCACATTTATGAATTGTCTGATTCTTAAACTCAAATCCAGAAAACATCTCAGTCCCAGGTCTGTCAGGAATTTCAAATCATAAACTTCACAGGAATTAATATCTGTTTTAAGTGATTACTAAGTCCCCTTCACTGTTAAAAGAAAATCTTAAAAAAGTAGTTATACCTTAATGAGAGTATCGTTTTTGAGAGCTGGAGGTAAATAGACACCAGCACTGCTACCAAACAGGCCCTCAGAAAATGCAATGGCGCTGGCTCTAGTTCGCTGGGAGTCAGTAAACCGGAACTGAAACAGGTTACAAAATTAAATAATTAAAATATGGGGACTTTGAGCAGATATCTGCATGCTGGATATCAATCAACACATCAGTTCAGTAACATTCATTAATCATGCATCAAATGTTTCATTATCCAAACAGTTATAAATGTAGTGGTCTATGTATCACATCAAGATATCTCAAGCAGTGAAGCTTTCAGTTTACATTTGGAAGATCTGAGGTTGACGTTTTAGCTGGAAACCCTGATATAGGTTTTACATAGCTCTGACAGATGGCAGGATAAATATGTCACAGCTTCTTCATCCCCAGTTCTTTCTAGTTTGTTGTACATATTCGTAATCATTCTCTCATATAGGGTTCTTAGACAATCCATTTATGCAGGACAGTTCCTTGTTTCAATCCTCTATTCTGATTTCCTTTAAGGTCTGTCAGTATGCATAACTGTCATATATTTGAATAATCCTAATACTTTGAATTAAAAAAAAAACAATAAACAATTTTGTTTTGACACATCAGCTTCCCCTGTGTATGGCAGTTGTTTATATCCACTGTGATAGGAAAAGCAAAAACTACATACAACATTTAGTGAGGGAAATCTCTTGGAAACCAGCCACTTGAAATACTTAGAAGTGCTAGGACGGAGCATACACTGTGTTTGGGAAACAGATTGTTATGAAAACTGAGTGTAAGTGATTTATCAATGTATACAGTCACACCTCAAATCTTTGGGTTATACTAGCAGAGAATGAGTAAGTTGCTCATTTAATTAGTCCTCTTCCTAAAATTATGTATCCCACATTTTGAAATTGAAAATCTGGTGATGCTGCTCTTACATTATTCAGTGAATAGTAACCTCTTCAGTTGATACAGCGTTATTAAATAACTTACAGACCTCCATTGGTACACTAAAATTTATATGCCTCTGATCAGAATACTTTATGTTTCACATTATACTTGTATAAATAATATTAGGCTTACTCTCTCTTCCTGATAAATTGTTGTGGTATGTATACTGCATTTTATTCAATAAATAAAATATTTCAACTCTGATGCCAGTTGACAGTCACCAAAGTAACAAATCTCATCTCAATGACAAGACGTTTCACAACCTTCAACATATGCCAATAGGTTAAGTGTGAAGGAGAGACCATTTTTTACCAACAAGGGTGAATAGAAACTGTGTTTAATTGAAGAGATGCTTTTGTTCTCTTAAATTCTTCATATCTCATTGGTCTCAGTTTGCATTTATTACAAATATAAAACTGTACAATAATGAACAGCACACATGCCACACTCCATAGACTCTCAAATTATGTTACTGACAAAGTACTGAACAGTAAATATAGTTTCTTGAATTAGGTTAAATATATATACCACAATGACAACTGTTTCAAATAAATATTTAGAGTGTAATGGAACTTATATTTTATATCATGTATAATAGTTTGTACAATCAGCTGAGAATATTTTTGTTTCATTTGAGCATCATACTATTCAGTAGGATCTATCATGTGCTTATTACTTACTTACTTACTTACTCATGGAACTGAGCCCTTCTGGAAGAGCCACCAATTCTGCAGCTACTCAAGAATTTCCCAGCATTTTATGGAACTCGAAGGTTCATTACCGTGTTCACAAGAGCCACCACTGGTCCCTATCCTGAGCCTGATCTCTCCAATCCATACCATCCATCCTGTCTCTCTAAGATCCATTCTAATATTGTAAACCCACCTATGAATGGTCTTCCCTGTGATCTCTTTCCTACTGGCTTTCCCACCAATATCCTATACGCATTCCTCGTCTCCCACATTCGTGCTACATGACCTGCCCACCTCATCCTCCTTGACTTGATCATTCTAATTATACTTGGAGAAGAGTACAAGTTATGAAGCTCCTCATTATGCAGTTTTCTCCAACCTCCTGTCACTTCGTCTCTCTTCGGTCCAAACATTCTCTTCAACACCCTGGCATCAAACACCCTCAGTCTGTTCCTCCCTTAATGTCAGAGACCAAGTTTCACACCCATACAGAACCACAGGCAAAATTATAGTTCTGTATATTCTAATTTTTATGTTTTTGGACAACAGACGAGAAGACAAAAGTTTATGGACTGAATGGTAGCAAGCATTACCCGAGTTCAATTGCCTCTTAATATCCTCCTGAATCAGGTTTCGATCTGTTATCATTGTTCCCAAATATCTGAACCTATATCAAAACATCTGTTTTCTATCTTTATGTTATGATTTTGCCCTGCATTTTGGTAACAAGACAGTAACATATACTTAGTTTTCTCCGTGTTTACTTCTAGATCAACCTCTTTACTTGCGTCAATTAAAGTTTGTGTGCTTTTCTTTATGGTATCTACATTATCACCCCGTAGATTCACATCATCGGCGTAGACCAACAACTGATGTGTCCCGTTTAATTTCAGTCCCACCTGGTTTCACTGGACCTTGCTAATTGCATATTCTAAGGCAAAGTTGAAAAGGAGTGGCAATAAAGCATCTCCGTGTTTTAGACCATTTTGGATAGGAAATTTATCAGACAAATGTTTACATACACAGACTTTACATTACATTTCGTTTAAACATATTTTAATCAACCTAATTAGTTTCATGGGTATCCCAAACTCGATTAGAATATTGTACAATACTTCCCTCCTAACTGAATCATAGGCTTTCTTGAAGTCTATGAATAGCTGATGTACTATCTCATCATACTCCCATTTTTTCTTCAATATCTGATGAATGCAAAAGATCTGATCTGTAGGTGATCTGTTACATCAAAAACCCACACTGATGGTCCCCAATAATTTCATCTATATATGGACTTAACCTCGAAAGAAGAATATTGGACAAAATTTTATACGAAGTTGATAGCAGTGATATCCCCCAATAATTACTACAGTCAGTTTTGTCACCCTTCTCATGCTTATACAAAGTAATATTTGCTCCTCATCATGTTTAGCATTATCCACCCCCACCCCCACACACACACACACACACAACATCAAAATCTGTTCAGCATCAGGGATCAAATGTAGACTGATGGACAAACACAACACCCCTGTCATTCTGCACTTTGGACAAAGAATGATTAAAATCCATCCATGAATATTCTTTCTCAGCCCCGCTCCCATGTTCACATGCATGTGTACACACGAATCATCCTTGAATGAAATCAGAACCTGTAACAGGGTTGTGATAATAACTGGCACACTTCACCAGTGAAATTAAGAAACAGATCAATTTAAACTTTTGCCTTTGTTATATGATTAGTTAATTTAAATGTGATGCATTCACTACATTTCACTTTACTACAGTCTACCCTGTTGGGTATGACAAAGAATTATGGATATGATTGTTGTGAGCCAATTCAGAAACTGTTTTCATCTTACCTAACTTGTAAAAAATAAAAAAATATTAACATATATAAAGCAATTATTTTTTACATGGCTTTATAGTATGTGAGTCATGGCCACAAGATGTAGCTAAAATAAAAGAAATGAGAAACATATATAGAATTTGGTGCAGAAATCTCTTGAAAAATTTCTACTCTGAACACCAAGACACAGATGAAAGTACAGCATAGAAACAGATCTTAAGGTCCACTGAAAACTTGAGGATCAAGCTCCAGATTTAGTTATCACAAATACAGCGATTTAATTGACAGTTATATAGTGATATTGGCCCCCACTCAACTCCACCATCACTTACCTCATATAAATCTTGACTATAGGTCTGGTTCAGAAGTTTTGGAAACTGAGTTTTAAAGCGTCGGGCCATGAACTTGAGATCATCATGTCCTTGATTCGTGAGATGTTTGGCTTGACTTGGAAAAACTGACAGTGTCCATCTTCTCAGATTTTCCAAGTCTTCTGGGCACAGTCTTCCCCCTGGAGTTTCAAAGCAGGGTGGATTTTTAACACAATTAGACATGAAGGAATCTTATTAGTATGCATGGAACTAAACTTGGAAATGCATGTATATATGATCCTAGGTGACCCCATCACAGTAAGCATATATGAAACAAAATTTCAAAATGTCAAAAGTATGACAGATAATCTCTACAGTTCAGAGCGGAGATGAGATATGTGACATGACTACACAATAACAATCACTCTGTTTATAATGACAACTGTGTTATATACAGAATACTGTTGAATATATATAGTTTCCTTCTGCTCCCTTATATGCCTGCTTTGTGATGCTTAATTTCATTAATGCAATTCAATACTCTTTTGTTTCTGTATAGTGTTAAGACATAGAAGCATAGCTACTCACTGTGTCGTTTCTCATGGTTGTTGATGATCTGATCTCGAAGGTCTGGTAGACGCTGCATGGTATAAATGGACTTGCTGTCAGGAAACCGTGTCCCATGGCGAGACAACATCCAGAACTGAACTGGTTGACAGTCTATATGTAAACAGAACAAATTAGAATTACGTTCCAAAACTCTTAAACTTCATACTCTTACTAATATGGACCACAGAGAAACTAAGTGCAAGTGAGGAGAAAAGGATAATCACTACCAAGGCAAGCAAGTTTATGGAGCAGAGTCCATTATGTGAAATTAATAGCTTTTGAGCTATAACTCACCTTTTATAAAGCCCTGACATGCACTACTATGTTCACTATAGCATGTCACTGGTCTCTATGCTACATCACATGAATCCAGTCCACAACATGGAGAGAGTTGCTTTTCAAGAGGTAGTTTCAGTTGACTGAAAGGGCAGGCTCTTTGTGTGTTCCCCACTTATGCACTTTCACTGTCCTATTTTTTATTCCCATGGGATGAGTGAGTTTGTTACAAAATTATGTCCCACACAGGCTGTCATTCCTAATCTTTACTATTTATCTGTATGGTTACATACTCAAGAAATACACAACTTCACAATCTGCAGTTTATTGTTGAGTTGTCAGAAGTTTTAGAATTCACTCTTTCATTTCAGCACGAATCATCTCTTGTGTGTCTGCATTAGTCTGTAAATGATGCTAACAATGCTAAAAAATTAAGAGCAGATTAAATTCAATCAATGCTGGGTACATTTATGTTCAGAATCTTTTACCTTTCCTCCCACTATCTAAAAATGTAAAAATTAAAGTATAGAAAACTATAATTTTGTCTGTGGTTTTGTATGGATTTGAAACTCAGTCTCTCATATTAAGGGAGAAACACAGACAGGGGGCTTTTATGAAGAAGGTACTGCACAGAATAATTGGACTAAAGAGGGATGAAGTAAGAGGAGACTGGAGAAAAGTGCATAGTGAGGAGCTTCATAGTTTTTACTCCGCGCCAAATAGTGGACCAATTAATCAAGTAGGATGCTATGGGCAGGACATGTAGCACGCATGGGAGCAAAGAGGCAAGAAGTGCATGCATTGTTCTGTAGGAAAACCAGAAGGATAGGCCCACTAGGAAGACCCAAATATGAATGGGAGAATAGTATTAAAATAGATCTTGAATATGATTGGACTGGATGCTTCTGGCTCAGGACAGCAACCAGTGATGGGCTGGTGTGAATATGGTTCTGTTTTCAATACAATGCTGGGAATTTCTTAAGTAGCTAAGCAACTACTGGCTTGCCAAGAAGGACTCAGGTCCATGGAATTAGGTGGTTAGTTAGTTTGCATTGGTAGGAGAGATAAAATACTTCCATAATCAAAATGTTCAGCTGGAAACTAGGTCAGAAGTCATGTTGATCTTGTTAGGAGTCATCCTTGAAATGGTAATACAACATGAGATATTTTCTTCAGTGCTGCAATTCTCAGTACTATTCCAAGGTGGCCAGCAGTCAATGAAGCTGTAAGTTTTGATTTGCTTAATTTCATCACGGGAAATGTATGTTGAACCAAATAACAAACACAGGCATTTGGTCGTGGAAGTACACAGGTGGGCTATTAAGAAAGGCATAAAAATCCTGTAGAGCTCAATCAGTATAGGGATGGGCTGTGGGTTGGACAGTCAGGGTTTCATTTCATTTCATTTCATTTCATTTATTTACATGTCAAAAATCCTTTACAAGGTCGTAAGACTCAGGATATAGACAATAGTCCAATATAACAATTAAATATAATAATTACAAAAAATATAATACATGTTAAAATATTTATGTAAACATAATTTTAAAATTATAAAACTTGTAATTTAACTTTTCATTAATTAAGTATTTAATCCCAATAAAATCAATTATCAATCTTCTTAACCGTGTAATCAAAAATTTCATCAATACCATAAAATGAATGTAAATGGAGAAATTGTAATAGTGCTTTCTTGAATCGATTTTTGTTTTTGGATAACTGTTTTATTTTGCGTGGAAGACTATTATAAATTTTGATTCCAAGATACTGTGGACCTTTCTGAAATGCTGTTAGATTTGATGAGGGGAGATGCAAATTTGAACTATTTCTTGTTGCAGTTGTATATATATCTGAATTTTCTACAAATAAATCCATATTATTAACTACAAACATCATCAAAGAATATATATATTGAGAGGGCAGTGGTAATATTTTCAATTGTCTAAAGATTTTTTTACATGAATCTCTGTTTCCAGCTCCCACCATTATTCGAACAGCTCTCTTCTGCAATTTAAAAACGCACATACTGAGAGTTCTATTTCCCCATTTCTGGCAGAGGCAAGGGATTTTTCTCTCTCCACAGCACCTCTGGGGCCTGCCCAGCCTCCTATTCAGTGGGTACCTGGAGCTCTTTCCACCAGAGTAAAGCTGACCACTCACGTTCATCTATTGCCAAGGTTCAGAAAGGTGCAACTATAGCTCCCCCCCCCCCTACATCTTCACTGCATGGTGCTTAATTACTTAAGTACAGAGACAACTTTACCTTATTACCTCATAACAATGTCAGTGTCACAGACTATAAGTGCTATAGCGACAGTGAATCGTTTTAAGATCAACGCTCTCAAGTGTAAATCAACTGGAAATACGTGTATATTTATATCTAAGAAATTTTTGGTAAAGGTAAGGATATCCCTGTGCTTAACTTATTAAGCACTATTCCATGAAGGTGTCTGGGAGATTAGATTGGATTAAATTAGAACCACATATTCTTGACCTCAGTACTAGTTGGAGGTGACTGGTCAGTTTTATGCCCTGGCTGCCTTACTCCCGGGGAATAAGCCTCCGGTACCCATTGGTGAGAAGGCTTGGTGGGTTCCAGAACCAGTCTCAATGACATGGAAAGGAGGAAAATCTAGCAATAAGTCATTTATTTAATTAATTTTAAATCATGTAATCACTAGAGTGTTGTAAGATTTTAGGCTTTCACGGCGGTGACTATGAAGAAAGCAGTCTTCTGGGATTTGGCACCGTGTATATGCGGTGTTAACCAACGTTTCACGGTCTCTTCGCTTGCGGATTTCTTATATTTTTCCTTCTACCCTGAAGATGGAGGCGATACGTTCCTCCGAAACGTCGGTTAACACCACATATACACGGTGCCAAATCCCAGAACACTGCTTTCCACTTGAGTGTTATCTATAAAGTGTTATTGGACCATTTTTTGCCCACCCCTGGTCTACATGATCTGTTCCTGCACTTATTGCACAAGGCTTGCTCATAAATTGGTTGAATAAGTGATGTTCGCCCACTCCATTTTGCCACTGTTTCCAGTTGTTTATAACTGACAATTATTTTCTCTAATCACCCACCTGCCAGTACATACAGTAAGAACAAACGTGAGTGGAGAACAGTGCATCCACTTAAACCAGCAATAAGATTTATTGTCCAACTGAAGAGGAAGTAACAAGCATCTATCTCTACAGCCCACAGTTTAGTGGCAGGGAACGAATCTTGATGATGAGATGGACGCGGCATTGCTGTAAAACTTGAAAGGAGGACGACATTTGGGAGACTCAGGCATAGATGGGAAAGGAAAAAAGTATTAAAATTTGTCCTACAAGAACTGGGTGTTAGGATATGACGAGATTCATCTGACTCAGGATATGCTCTTGCGAACAAGTAATTAAGCTTAAATACCCATAAAATGCTATTCTTGATTAGCTGAACCACCATCAGTTTCTCAAGAATAACCCTGCTCCATGGTGTTCGGAGTCTACTGTACGAGTATATAGACTCGGTTCATTACTAAGCAGCTTAGCTCTTGACCAAATACCGTGTTGTAGTAGTGGTCATGAATGCATCATATTCACGAGATCCCAGGTTTGAATATCAGCCCGCAGACCTACCGTGGTTGAAATTTATCATGGTTTTCCTCAGTCCCCGCATGAAGAGTCTGGAATATTAGATTCGATTCTGTGTTATTAAAATCGACCACACCGCTTTCTTTTAACATACTTTCCAATTCATAGTGTATCATTCGATGCTGTAACCTAAAGCATCGTTAAATAAAATAAACAAACTCATTAGCTTTGATGCACATATGACTTTATTGGTGTGATGAGGCTTCCCTTGGCATCTGTAATGGAAGTTCATGATGATAATAGGAAAATAATAAATTATGGATGGATGGAAGGATCCGAGGGTTATTTAAGGACGTCGTATCAACGACGGTCATTATTTATCATCGAATGATGTGAAGTAACGATCGTACGCGATGAACATGAACGGATCGGAGTGGAAGCGGTCATAGCATATTTCAAGGTACTTACCCGGCATTCGTGTAAAACTGAGTAAATCCTGGAAAATGCCTGTCAGAACAGTCGGCGTCCCTGCTAATTCTAACTGAACACCGTCCTAGTACGTATAAATGAATAGCATTGGCGACAGGGCCAACTCGCTCAGTAATTATGGAAACATTTCTTATTATTCAGTTCGAAAATTGGCATCCTACCACAGACTCTCCAAAACCGCCCGAGATCGCGATAACATAAAATATTGTAAGATTTGAGGTTTTCACGGCGGTGACTATGAAGAATGTCGTCTTCTGGGATGTGGCGCCGTGTAGAGCTTATGTGAACCCACGTTTCGGAGGAACGTATCGTCTCCATCTTCAGAGTAGAAAAATCCGCGAGCGAGGAGCCAACGTATGCAGGTTGCTGCAGTCTGTAGTCACTTGCACACGTTGGTTCCTCGCTCGCGGATTTTTCTACTCTGAAGATGGAGACGATACGTTCCTCCGAAACGTGGGTTCACATAAGCTCTACACGGCGCCACATCCCAGAAGACGGCATTCTTCACATAAAATAATGTTTCTACATGATTTGTATTGGTGACTGTTTCCTACTTTAAGAGAAGTATACAAGTTGCAAGCGCAAGAAAATACTTTGACGTAAAGAGAGTGAAGAAAGTCAACGTTTGTGATGAGGATAAACTTCGTGATTTATACAAGTCACACAATGTTACGGGGATACTGAAATATAGCAGGCGATGATGGGCTGGACATGGGGAAGAGAATAAATTCATGAAGAATATCGATCGGGAAATTTCATAAATTC